CCGAACCGATACAAACCCGAACCGATACAAACCCGAACCGAAACCGAACTGAAACCGAAAACCAATCAAACCGAAATAAACCCGGAACCGAACTGACCCGAACCGAACCGACCCGAATCGATTATAACATATATCCGAAAGAGACCCGAACCGAAAAGACCCGAACCGGAACCGAACCGATTGACCCGATTGCCAGGTCTAGGACTCCTACTACAATGGTAAACTCATCTAAATGTATTCAACATTTGTCCCTTGAGACTTGTGGAGTGGAGATATGATGGAGACTTGGACTACACCGTGAGCGAACGGGCATTGGCCTAAGCTCAATGGAGGAAGCAGGAGCGAGCACCCCCCCCTGTCGTTACCCCCATCATTGACCTTTGTGGTTGACGTGGCAAGGGGTCAAAACACCTAGGTTGTCGACTAGAGAAAGCTGACCGACCAACACTCTCAACATCCCTTGAGTGTGTAGTGCTCCTTTTCTGTGAGCCCCTACGCACTCTTAGGGACCTATCCTTCGTCCAAGATCCCGACATAAAGCACAACAAGCACTCTACAACAAACACAACAAATATAGTGGGACGAGCATTACCCAATAAGGGGGATAGTGGGACGCGGCATATGTCAGACAAATCAGCACAAAAAATGCTATATGACATGTTTCGATTTAGGATATTTGACTAAAATTATGTTTCATTCGATTTATAAGGCAATTGGGTGGAATGAAAAAAAATTACATATTTAAAATCTACATCTAAAGCTCTACAAAACAAATGTTGACATTACTATATTGTTTTATCAAATGAATAGCGAAGATAGGTAAAAAATATATAAAAGTTTAACCATGTAAATAGTATAGACGTTATTTGCCCCTCTTGAAAAGGGATATGAAATCCAAACTTTGATTCTCTCTCTAAAAAAAAGATGACACTCACATTCCTAAGGGCCCCTCAGCACGACAGACAGTTAGCTGTAGAGTTGCATGTATGGTACTTGCAGAAGCCCCATGCTTTTCATGGTTGTCTCTAACTGCAACCATCAGGCTTTAAACTTGAGATCTCTTCCTTATAGTACCTTTACGTAAACCACTGAACAACGTCCCACAGTTGATTCTCAGTCTAAATTTGATAAAGTTATTGTGGTGTTGTGTAATTCTCTCGCTCTCTTACGATCTTACTCTTTCACTGCTATCGCATTCTCTCTTTTGTTACTCTCTTTCACTCCGACTCGTTGCTAAGTATTTACTATGCAAGTAGCTCATATAAAACCAATATCAACGGCATTGCATTTGGTGTTTTATCTCCCATCAAATATCAGTATATGATAAATATGTAAATATTACCCCTTAGTCCCAATTTAAATTACGTGTTTTATTTCCAATATTTAATTGAAATTATTTTTAATTTAATTTATTTAAGAATTTGCAAGAAATAAAATATTTAATTTATATATTTGAAAGCTACATTAAAAATTCTACCCGTACAAAGGATTGGTGACATAATTTTATTATTTTCTTAATGAAGTATTTCATTACTCTTTATATCCCAGATTAAAGTTGAGTTGTTCTTTTACGGAGAAAAAAAAATAAATTATATGGCTGAAATTGATATAGAAAAGAAATGGAAACTTTATTTTGAGATAATCAAAAAAAGAAAAATGTTAAATACACTTTGGAAAGGAAAGAGTATATTTCAGGAATATTTTTACAAGGACATGAGCTTAACTAGGATAACCATTAATAGAGCTTGGAGCTCAAGTGAGGAAGAAGAAAACGATTAGTGAGAGACTAATATGGAGGCATGATGTGCATATTGTGTACATCAGCTCTTCTAATAGAAAGGCCCTTCCCCCTTTTATAATTGGGTGGAAGGATGTGAGTAATTATGTAGTTAGAGTGAGGATCCAATATTGGGTTGATAATTAATTATGTTTCTAACTATCCTTCAAATTTGTATTTTGGATACACTCTTGTAGATATACTATCTCGAATCAAACGGTGATACTTATACCATAAGTAAGGAATACAATAGATTAGGGAGCCAATAATTTGATGAGAAGGGTAAAATACACTTTTTGGATGGTTGAATTACCCAAAGAATGGAAAGATGTGTCAAACTTTAGGTAGAGCAGCATTGGGCAATACTTTAGGCTTTGGCTTCACTTCGACTTCATTCACACTGCGGATGAATATGGCATCTGGCTCATGACTGAAAGAGGAAATATATAAAGAGTTTTATTAGCCTCCCACACATGAGAAAAATTTCAGATGGTCGTTTTTCTTATACAGACTAGAAAAATTTATTGAGTCCATTGTTGCATTTTTGGATAGGACACAGTGATTAAAGCAGAGCCACTTACTCTCGATCGCCCTCTTCAAATGTGTAACTTGAGGCCAAAGCCAGTAGTTTGCCATCTCTGCTAAATGATAAGGCTGCAACGCTTGCAGGGTATTTTGGATACTGCACAGGTTGGTTCAATATAGAAAATCATGAGGACAATGAACAGTAGTGTGGTACAAGGTTAATAATACCTATACTTCAATTTTTTCTAGGGGATAAAAAGAAGATTTTAAGTTGTTTTCTTTTTTTCTCCTTTTCAAAAAACAATGATGAGATTACCAATAGTTTGGAGATGTTTTTCTTGACAGTTTCCAAGTTTCAGATTCTTAAAAGATTTAATTCACCCCAGGTCGATATTAAAGTCTTCGAATACGGACACAACCACCTATCAGATAAGATTACATACATTTTGATTCTCAGACTCCAATCGTGTTGAGAGTATACTGGGTAGTTGTTGAGTGAGTGTATCTGAAGAAATTAAAGAGCTTGTCCGTAAGTAATTACCTGATATAACCTCTTTTTGTTGTTTCCATCCCAAACATTAACATATCCATCGCAGCCTCCTGTTGCAAAAGTACCATATCTGCAGGAAAAGGAATGCAAATAGAAGCCATCAAGAAATATGTAAAGTTGCCAGTTGCCACCAATAAATCCTGTACCCTAGCACAATTGCCCCCAGGGCATAGCTCAACTGGCAAAGAACAAGGGTGGTTTAAATGTCCGCCACACTAGCAGTTGGCGGAGTGGGGAGTTCGAATCCCGACTCTGCCTTGGATGTGGCTCCCTCATAGGTGAGATTAGTCTGGCAGCCCTTGGACCTTTGCCAGTTGAGATACATCCCGCAATTTGATTCCTCCGCCAGTCCTGAGGGCATGGGGGTGGGGGTTCTACCTTTTTTTGTACCCTAGCACAACAGAAAAAGGGTTGGGAATGACAAATTGAAAATAAGAGGTAGTGATTTTGATCCCACCACACCACACACACAACACACTTCCGCATTTGCCGAGGGGATCCCTTTTCTAATATTACATGACATGATGACAAAGGCTCTGGGAAAGGCGGTTTCCTCCGAAATGCTTTACAGCGGCGGAGTCTGTCCAAGCCCCGGTACGGAATAGTCTCCCAGTGGAGGATACAGAGGTATAAAAAAGAAATTTTGATACCACTATAATCGTCTTAATAAACCAATGTCGAGAGAGAGAGTGTGTGTGTGTGTGTGCCAGTGTGTGTGTGTGAGGGGATGGTAAGTTGATAAAAATGTTCTGCTTGGATACTTTTGGATCTTTTGAATTTCATGATTCTTTCTACTTGGAAAGGCATGAGTTATGGTACCAGACACTTACATGGGGTGAAATGCGATAGCATTTACAGGATACACTATATCCCTTCCGGCATCAGCTTTTCGATGACATTTGAATGCATATCTGCGTGTTAAAATTTAAAAATAAATTACATTAATGAATCGATCGGTTATATGCAACTTCAAACTTAAAAACACCATTGTACTAAATATAGATTAAGGGATATCATTTATATCAAAACCAGAAAAGAAGCAAACCAAATAAGGTTCAGCAAGTGTTTGCTTTAAGGCAATAATAAATTGATCTGCCCACTCAACAATAAAGAACTATAAATGAGCTTTGGATAAAGAAACCGGTTAACCAGGTGAAAGTATTATTGCAAGTTAGAATAAGAATACTTTTTGGATTGTCCAGCCTCAGAGAGATCAAAAAATTCCATGGCAACACGACCTTCAACCGAACTAAGAGCATAGCCTGCAAATTACACTATAATCAAATGCAAAACACAATCTGCTTTCAAGGTATATGGAATTTATTCAACGGACCGATCAGAAGACCAGATTACCTTGGTATAAAACCATGAACTAAAAAAGGCTTAAAATCAAGCAGTGCCAATACAGCCCTCATGTATAGAAATTGATGAGGCTTTCGAAGTTTACCTGTTCCATTAGGATAACAACGTACACATCTTGTCTGATATTTCAGTGACGACTCCCTCCGTTGCTCAGGTTGCGACATATTTCGCAGATCATAAACATTAACATGCCTTCCAGCAGTAGCTACCACTAAATGATTGCCAACAATAGACAGAGAGTAAACACGCTCTGGTTGTGCATATGTCCCAACAAGAGTGTGTTCCTGCCCACTAGCACCTCTTGGATCCCAACACTTTAAGGTTTTATCCCAGCTACCGCTGATCACTTGTCCTATCATGGACAAAAATCACATGTTTTTCTCTTTTTTTCTAAGCCAAATAGAATGAAGGAATGAATGAATGATATCAATAGACAATAATACAAATCAGCAGTATCAGATTAAATCACCTGTGGTAAACAAACGTTAAAGTGACTAGTTTTTTGTTTTGTTGTGAATTTTGTGATTCCCAGTCTCCCAATCATTTGAATCACTCGGCTTATACGAATTACTTTTTTAACATTAAAACTAAAGAAATGCTCTGTAACACAAAACACTTAAAGGAAGTATTAAGCACCAAGCAGTAATAGTTGCTCAACATATGTATAGCCATTACATTTAAAGCACTTACCAGTATATGAGTATTCAACACAGCGAACAGGTGCATTATGCCTCCCCAAAATATCATCTCTTTTATGACTGAATACAAGTCTGAATAACCAAGAGAGAAAATTTCCAGTGACGACAGTAAGCATTTTAGACACAATAGGCATAAGAGCCGTACACAAGTCAGAAGTTTTTTCAATATGAATCAATGAACTAACCACAACAACCCAGTGTAGTCCCGGAAGTTGGGTCTGGGATGTGAGTGTATGCAAGCCTTAACAATTCACCCTACCTAAACAGGTAGAATATGAATCAAGGTACTAACCAATACATGATTATATATTTCAATAGTTCTTATACTACATAAAAACCTCATATTTAAGGCACGAATTAAGATTTTACTGAACTGTTAAGCACCACGTGAACCCAGAAACTAGTCCTAATGAATAAGCCCCAAAGGTCCACAGTGTACTAGGTAGGGGCATCTAAGAAGAGTGTATCAGTATAAAATTCTAAAATATTAAGTATTTTGGTATATTTCCTGACCCTACGCTCGTGGGATTCAACTGGGTTGTTGTTGTTTGTTGTATTTTGGCATATACCAAAATACCAATATTGTGTATGAGGACTCGTGTATCATGATTTGGTATACCAAATTTTATAAATGCAGCACAATTTTGTTGGTATTCCAGAATTTTACCATATTACAAAATTTTACAAAAAACAAAAAATTTGGTCTGCCACTCTGCCGAAATTTCATAGGTATACCAAAATTTTGGCATAGCACACTATGAGCTGTGTTCATACTAATCCTTTGGGCAACCAAAATTTGGTATGCCAAAACATTGATTTTTGAGTAAGGTAATAATATGAGCTCAAATATTTTGGTATACCACACCGAACCACCAATAAGTGTGTAACTTCGTACTTGATATCATCACCTTTCACCTACGGAGCAATCACTTCGATGAAAGTTGGGGTTCTATTATATGTCTCTTTTCTAAATAAATCCTAAATATCCTAATGACCCACTTTTCATTTTGTTAGTTTAAGGCAAGTTGTACATTGCAACGTTTCGATGGACAGAGAAAGTATAAAATTAGTTAACACTATAAAAAGGAAGATTAAATAGAAATAACAAAATCATTATAATCATATGTTTAAGCAAATTAGACTTTGACTTAGCAGTACTTTAATGTTCGGTAACTTTGTTTAATGCTAAAAAATAACTTAGTTATAGGTATTTAAATGTTTAGTAACTTGGTTGAATGTTAAAAAGTAAAACTAAAATGATAATAACAATATGATGTTTTTCAAAATGCTAATCCTATGAGCATTTTGCTCCACATATTGCTAATTCAAAATGCCAATTTAATTTCTGATTAGCATTTTGAGTTTTGAGCAACCAAAAGCGTTGTTTAAGGTCAAATGTTAAAAAACAGAATACTGCACAGCATTACTGGCAACCAAACATGGCCTTAGTAAATGAAGATGCAAGATCGTGAATGAATTAGGTACCAAGGGGTTGGCCTACATAACAACCCTAATAAGGCATTAGACTATCATATTTACCAAAATATAATGAAACAAAGAACCTTTAAAGCATCAAAAGAGGATCTAGTGGGTACCTTCTAACAGTATAATCAACGCCGGCACTAAAACCTGAAGAATCATCATGGAAACAGCAGTCTAGCACCGCACCTCCGTGCAAGAAGGTTTCTCGCAAGGTAGAAGGCGCATTAGCGCAGGCATCGTACAATCGAACAGTCTAACAGAATATAAAAAATACACAAAATTTCAAAAGAACAGCTCAGAAAATGAAATGCGATGATTTTCTCCTGATATAGAAAAGTAAGAGACTAAAACTCACATTATCCCAGGAAGACACCAGGAGTAGATCGCTGTGGTTGGAGAAGCGGAGGTTGGATATGCCGTCCTTCGGAGGATCGGATAGCTCCCGACCAGCTGACAAGGGGCCCGCCGTCATGGTTCCGTAGGTGTTCTGTTCAGTTCGAGAGCTCGGTTAGAGGTTAGAGGCCGCGATAGGGTTTTTTTTTGAATATTATTGACCGTTTGGGAGGGGAGGCGTTTTGAAACAAAAATATTTAGCCCATGTTTGGATGGGGTGATTTTAAAGAGAAAAAAAATGGGAGGGAAGAAAACACAATTTTCAATAAAATTTCCTTTGTTTGGTTAGGGATGAAAATGGGAGAGGAAAGAAATCATGAGAGGCGCCACCCCAAAAAATTTTCCCTGCTCAAGTGGCGAGAAAATGGGCCAATTGAAGAGAAAACTAGTAAATTGACAATTTTTCCTTGCTTCTATCTTATATCTTCCATATATCTTTTTTCAATTATTAAAAGAAAGGGCAAAAATGTCTTTTTGGCTTTATCACCTTTTTTTTCCTTTTACATTTTCACTTCATTTTCCACTCATCCAAACAACAATAATCTCCTTCCCATTTTCTCTTCATTTTCTTTCCTCTCTATTTTCTTTCCATCCATTTTCTTTCCACTCATTTTCTCCTTTTATCCAAAAATGGCTTAGGGAAAGTGGACCAAAAATATACTCTATTTATACACTAATATGCTCTTCACCACATAGTTTTTGATGTGGCTATGAAGAGAAAAAGTGAATAAGAAATGTCTTGAGGTGGAACTTGGTGTACAAATTGATATACTTTTGGTGTACTTCTAATGGGTAAATTTCACTCATGGTATACGAACTTGAGCAATGTTAGGAGTACACCTTTGGTGTACTCCATTTGTCCCCCACCCCTTTCTCCACCACTCATTTTTAACCCATTTTTATTTATTTAATTTTTTTTAGTTTCTTGCCCATTTTTGTGGTAATGGAAGGGGTGGAGGACAAATGAGGAACACCTTTGGTGTACCCCTAGCATTTTTCATACGAATTTTCATCATTCTTTTACTTCGGTATGTAAACTTTAATTCCTATCACAAAAGTACACGAATTTTTAACATTTTTTCACCGGTGGTCCAAAATGATATTGAGAATTAAACGTGGACATCTGGACATCAGTTGAACAAGAGCAGACTCGGGGTTACTACCCATGTATTGACCCGTCTTTTATATTTTTAAAAATTCTTAATAGGATTAAAATATTGAACTATTAAAATATTGAACTATTATATTTTTACGTTGCGCGTTACGATGTTTGACTGAAGTTATTTTTAAATCATTTTATATGAAAATGGTGTGAAATTTTAAAATAAAAATCACATATTAAAAAGTTATATCAAAAGATCTACAAAACTAGAGATGACATGACTATATTATTTTATCAAATGTGTAACGAAAATAGGCCAACAAAGTGAATAAAGTTTGACCCTGTGAATAGTGAACGTAAAGTTTATTTGTGGACGGATGGAGTAATATATTAGCAATGGAAATCTTTGTTGATATATAGAGTTTGTATATGGAGACATCATACGTATATATAGAAACCACTTAAATCGCACATTTTGTGCGAGTAAGTGACCAATATAGGATAAATGTCTAATGACCCGAGTCTAGCTTTGAAGTATACTTATTCCCTTTCACAAAATTTTTCCTCTTTCGTTTTTTTTGTTTTTCACAAAACACTTCCACTTTCTATTAAAAAAACCACTTTTACTCCTACTTTCTCACACCCTAACTATCACATCATACTTTTTCACTAATAACCAAACTATCACATCTTACTTTTCCCATCACATCAGGGGCAAAATTGAAAATTCAACTAAAATTATACTTTCCTTATTTTTCCACAAAGTCAAAACCGGGTTTTGAAGAACGGAGGGAGTATATAATATCTGAAGTATTGAACATGTGATAGAACATGAATTTGAAGGGTGAATACTGAATACATAGTCCAATATGAACAGTGGCGGAGTGACTTTAGGTCAAGTGATTGCTAAATTTGAATAAATAAGTTTATACTCCCTCAGTCCCAAATGTTTTACACTATTTACTATTTAAAAATTATGAAAACTTTTATTTATGAGTGCGTTTTCATTGATTATTTGAAGAACTAAACTATTATTGTCATTTCTTATTTTGTAAAATTTTTGATATACTTTTTAAATATGCAAGTTTTATTTTTTATATTTTAACAATTTTTAAATAAAATAAATCGAAAAAACTTAAACTTTTACTTCAGTTTTTATAAAGTGCAATTCTTTTAGAGATGGAGGAAGCATGTATTAATAAATAAGAATTTATCTAAATAGTATTAAAACATAGAGACTTTTCTAAAATAGTATCATATATTTTTATTTTCGAATGTAGTATCACTAGTTATTGTTTGAGTGAATATTCATCGTTATTAGACATTGTTCAAACTAAATGCTCACCATTACTGAACATTGTTCTCTCTACTAGACATTATTCAAGTATTATTTAGAGATTAAAAAAGTTTAAATATTACATTAGAAAATGATTAATGTTTTAGTATTATTTAGTGTAAATTTCACATTAATAAACATAAGAATTAAGCTAGGGGTACACCAACATGGGGTACCCCAAGTGTACACCAAAGCCAACACAGACACACACAGACACAAAGTGTCTGTGTTGCACAGACATTTTGTGTCTATTTGTGTCTGTGTTAGCTTGGTGTACATTTGGGGTACCCATGTTGGTGTATCCCTAGCATTGCCCTAAACATACAGATTGTGTAGGATAGATGAAGGTTTAATTAGTGAGGATGAAGGTTTTTATTTTATTTTATTTTATTTACTTTACGACTATTTTATTAATTTTGTAATGTGACGCAGTAAGTAAAATGGAAGTTATGCTTACAATCCGCTTTCGATCTCAGAAATTCCATTTCCTCCGAGCTAAAACCCTAGAAGAGATCTCCATTGCAAAATTCCGATCTCGATATCGCTTAAGCCTTCTCCGATTCAGCGCTTGCAATGGTGGTCTGTAAATGCCGGAAGGTAAAGCGTTAATAATTCTCTCCTTATATAACATGTAGTACTTCATTTGTAGAATTAGATCTAGCTGAGTCAGAGATAGAAATGTGCAATCCGACGCATTCATTTTAATTTAATTAAATCCTTAACTTTTTTACTCGTATTATTCCTAAATGATTGTATATTGGTTGCTGAATCTGGGCCGGAATTTCTGCGTGTAGCTGGTTTTGTTGAGCTGATCAATGGTTTTATGCAATGCACTATAAGAGCGAATATAAATTGTTTTTATTTTGAACTTTAGTGCTTATTGTATTGAATTTCCACATAATGGTACCCATCTATTCTCAACTTCTGCTAAGTGATCATTGGTCGATGGCTAATGAGTAAGGACATGGGCTTGGAAAGGTTCAGGAATTCCAAAATTACCCTTCAATGGAATATAAAAGAGTATTCCCTCACACTCGTAAATTGCATTTTTTTTTCAGTTTATAGCATTACCTGAACATTTCTCTACCACAAACCCAATTCTTGGATATTAGGATTGGTAATACATTTTTTTAAAAGTAGGATTGCTAATAATCATTGAATTTAAAAATTTGAGTTTAGGTGTTTACAATGTGGCTTGATTGAATTGCTGAGTTGTGATTTTTGTGAATTTCAGGCAACCAAGTTGTACTGTTTTGTACACAAGGTTCCAGTGTGTGGAGAATGCATATCCTTCACTGAGCACCATATATGTGTGGTATGTTTTTGTTTATAATTCATTTTCTTCTTATTTTAGTTTTAGCAAGTTGAAGCACATACATTTTGGGCACTTCGTAATTCTCCTGTTAATATTTAATGAAAAGAATTCCATCACCTTAGGTACACACATATTCCGAATGGGTTATAAATGGAGAGTATGATTGGCCTCCAAATTGTTGTTTCTGTCATGCTGTGCTTGAAAAGACAACAGATACTCAAACTACTCGACTGGGTTGCCTGCGTATGCTGATCCGACCACCCTGCCAGTTTGTTTTCATGTTCGCATTGCCATCTAGAGTATTCTTATATTTTCTTTATTTGCTTTTTATAGATGTCATGCATACAAATTGTTTGGTTTCACATATTAAAGGGTTCCCACCACAAACTGCTCCAGCTGGTTATGTCTGTCCAGCCTGTTCAACTTCTGTAAGTTTTACCAGCAGATTCTAAGCATTTTGATTTATGAGGTATTCCAATCTTATAGCAAAAGACGTTAATATCGAAGTGTTTTCTACCAATAACTGGTATATGATATTTGACTTTTTCAAAAATCAGGAATTGTAAATTTGAACCACTCAACCACCTAGAGCTAGACTAAAAAATTCATTGTCATGAGCTCTCTTAATAAGTTAGAGTGAGTCACTGTCGTGGTCTTCTTTCCCATCACTGAATGATTATGATGCTGCTTTTGTATGCTTATCCTTTTTCAAAAAAGAAAAGAAAATGTCCGATTCTCTAGAATAATCTTATGTGCACTGGAGAAATATTTGAGAGTTTACCTGAACCAGTGAGACTTTATCAATAGAATGATACTTCCTATGTTCTTAAATAAATGCAACATCAACATTTTAACGTTTGCCAATGCATAAAGTAAATTATTAATGTATTCAGTTTTGTTTTGGTAAAAATTATAAAAAGTTGCTATTTAAAAAGTTTATATGTCGAGACGAATCTAACAAGATCCCACATGACTATAGTTTTCTTTATGTATAATTGTCTGTCCTAAATCATTATTGATGTCAAGATTTGCTTCTATTGCTATAGATATGGCCTCCTAAAAGTGTCAAAGATTCTGGGTCACGTCTTCATTTAAAACTGAAAGAAGCAATAATGCAGGTGAGTTTTGTTGTTGTTATGAGAGTTGTTTTGCAGACTTTTTTTCACATTCATTGCAAACTCCTCTTGTTTATAATGAGTAATCTGTACTTACTTTGCTATATATACAGACTGAATAAAGACATAATTTCTGTCCTGAGCTTGTCTTATTAATTTTGATGTGGTCCAGACTGGCTTGGAGAAAAGTTTGTTTGGAAATCATCCAGTTTCATTGCCTCCAACAGATTCTCGTAGTCCTCCACCTGCTTTTTCTTCAGATCCATTGAAACACTTTTCTGAAGCTGGAGTGTCTGGGAAAGATATCACAGCAGGGGGTATAGAGGCCGTTCAAACAGGTTCCTTAAGCCCATCAGCTCTGGGTATTGTTCAAATAGATGGACTAAACTCAGCTTCAACTCAGACCAGTCATGAGGCCAATTTCACTAAAAGCTCAAGTCCTCCCGCTGTAAGATCGTATTAGAGAGACCTATGGTATAGAGAGAGAGAGAGAGAGAGATGGTTTGGTACATGCACTTGTACTTGGGGTGCTTGGGAGAGTAAAGAGTACACTTAGTTTTTCCGGAATTCACAAAATACTCCAACTTGTTTCCATAGTGTTATCCTAGTTTGTCAGCTACACGTAAGACGGAAGTATCTATGCAATGCTACCGAGACAATTTTGGGTACTTTGTGAGCTTTGTCATAAGTTACTCTTCTTAGCCTAGAACCAAGTTGATATACTGAACAGGCATTATTTTATGAAAAACAAATGAATATTGCTAAGCTCCCTATAAAATATAAATCCAATATCTAGCACCTAATATAAAATAGACTACCATATTCTATAGCTAACGTTTAATCACTTTTTAACTCTTTAAAATTTTTGAAAAGTGTTTAACTAACAATTAGAAAAAAAATCAGGTTAATCGTCTATATTGAGGTGGCTTACCCAACAAGGTAGGTTGAGACAATATTTATAAGAGAGTAGGTTTTGCAGAAACAAGTATCTAGTTAAAATACAAATATGCCAAACATTTTAATCTTTAGAAAGTTGATCTCTCGATGTGCAGGCACTCCTTCCATCCCATAATGATATCCCCATAAGAAATGGGCACACAGATTAAGCAAAATTGTGTGGTTAAGGACTTAAGGTTTATTTTAAAAATTCAGAAAGAGTATCAGGACATCACCTACATAAATGTTTCCAATAAAACAATAAGAACATTATTTTGGAACATACAAGCTTTAGAAATGGACAGAGTGAGTGCATTCACGTGTGTTATCCTAGTTTGTCAACTTAATTGATACATTATTTTAGGAATTTTCTAGTGTTTTCATTTGATCAATATTAAATTATTGATTAATTGTTTTTTTTTAAAAATTTACTTGTCTTTTTTTAGATTTTGTAGTTATGGTTTGTCTAGGTCTTATTTAAAAAAAATCAAATGGATAAGTTCACCTTCAATGATACCTAACCGGTTAAGATCCATTTTGTTTAATCATTATTTCTTCTTTAAAAGGTATGTATTATGATTATATAGACATGTATATTCGATGTTTCAAGTGGAAGTAATAATATTGCAAGCTTGTCAAAAAGTGTAAAAAGTTCAAATTGATGAGATGTTGGTAACGGTGGTTGATGAGTAAACTAGTGTCTTTTATTAATACTACAAGTAGTTGTTAGATATTGGTTATATAGGGAGCTCAGCAATATTCAATTGTTTTTTAGGAAGTGTCAGTTGAGTACATCAACTTGGCTTTACATTGTAAAAGAGTACACCAACTATCACCAGAGTTCACAAAGTATCCAAACTTCTCTCTGTAGCATTGTCTAACGTGTCTAATGTGTGGTTGACAGAAGTACTGGAATGAACTACGACAACAAGTTGGAGTACCTTGTGAGTATAGGTGTAATTTATTGCACTGTTTACTCCCTGGAGATAAGTGATTGTACTAGACTGACCTCTCTCTCTCTCTCCATAAATATGTATAGACATGCTCATATATAGGAACACACACACATGCGCGTGCTAGTGTACTACAGTGGAACAACTTAAACTTGTGCATAGCATAACTTGGAAATATGCATAGGAGAATAATATAGTTGTTCTTACGTGCTCTCTTTTATGACACGCTACCAGCCTGGGGCTACCACACGAAAGAGCACACTACAAGTTGAAAGGCAAAATTCTGAAATTCCATATTATGGTGATGATGAAGATGGTAACCGCAAAAAGTACACAAGAAGGGGTGAGAACATGTTCGCTTTAGTGTGGGAATTATTTTTACCATTCATAAAGTAGGGTATTCAAGTCAAAGGAAAGTTAGTCTAAGCTACTTGCATTACAAAATTTCTCATTTCGCTTTACTTGGTTAGTTTTTGCAAGTTATGCTATATTGTCATTGATACTGTTTAGTAATGATTTGCTCAAAGTAAACCAAGCAACATCTATTTATCTGCAGGTACCTTTCGACACAAGTTCTTTAGATCTCTGCTGCCTTTTTGGTCAAGTGCATTACCAACACTACCTGTAACTGCACCATCTAAAAAAGAAGCATCAAATGCTACAGATGGTTTGCCAGAAGGTCGGACACGCCATCACAGATCATCAAGAATGGATCCAAGAAAAATTCTCCTTTTTATAGCTATCATGTAATACCTTCTGCATCATTTTCTGGGTCTATTAGTTAACATTCTGTAGTCCTTATGCTCCCTGACTACCAGGTTTTCAGTATGCCATAAACATGAATCATGATGATTGTTGATGCATGCAGGGCTTGCATGGCAACAATGGGTATCTTGTATTATAGAATTGCACAACGTGGTCTGGAGGAGCTGCCTGATGATGAACAACAGTAATTTATTTTAATTTTTTTTACCAAAAACATATACATATACTCGGATGTTGTAGCTCAATTGTTTCTATACTGTTTTATAAAGATTAATGTAACAACAGTTGTGTCCTCCCATATTGTTCCCATTTGTGTGTATCAGTTGGCATTTTCTGGAACATTTTTGAATTGGGAACACTCAGCTTGCAAAGCTTAGTTGCATTCTCAGCTTTGGCTGCTTTAGTCTTGAGTTTATGGGAATCAGCTATAAAGAAAAATTAGACTCGTAAACTATACACTCGGCAATTCTGTCTTTTGTGTTTTGTAACAGGATTATTACATCAAATTAATCGGCCTAACTCGATTTTGAGATTCAAGCTCTCTTTGGTAAAGAAAGTTGTTCTTTACCCTTGCAGTGTCATTATTCCTATGCTTGTTCATTTTTTTATTATAAGGTTTGTCCCCCCCCCCCCCCCCTTCAATAATCAGTATTGAGTTGTTTCAATTGTGATTTGGGCAGTGGCCCTAATAATGTGATTAAAGACAAGGGTTTTGCGGGTAATTAGGAAGATGGCAGTGTTTGGGAATCCTTCCATCATTGGTTGCTTGCTATCTATCAGTATATTACAAGGCTTTGTATATTAACCCTGTTGGCTCCTCTCAATTCTTTAGACTTGTGTACTTGACATTTCTAGTCTTGTTCTATTGTTCATTCATAAGAACCTTATACTTCAGAAGGGTGGGACTCTGAAGTCTTCTGTTCTAGTCTTGTCTTTGCTCATAAACTTCTCAAGTTGATCAAACATCGAAACACATTAAGGTTCTTGCAGCGATGATTTTTCCTTTTGATAAATGTTTCGAAAACCCTAGTCAAGGTAGGATCTTAGTCTTGTGGTTTATTGTAGCATGCTTGAAACCCAAATTTGATTAGTGTGGTAACTTTGTTTCAACTATTGATTTGGTCAGTGCACCTAAAAGGGTATGTTTTCACCTGTAAATGTGTTTCGCTTTGCGTGTCTTTAAAGTGCAACTCATCTTCTTTGTGACAAAAATTGAAATTGAGAATGCCTTCATGTTTTGGAGTTATCCTGGGAAGTATATACCACAAACTGGTACCCTCAATGTGTGATCCCAAGATTTATCCCACTCTTGTTTGTTTTCACACGCATGGATCCACAGACATAAATATATCTGTGAATTTATTTATGTGAGAATAAAGAAAAATTAAGATAACTTTTACGATCACTTTTACTTTTTTTTTTATTTTCATTTACCATATGTGGGATTTATACTAGACTATGTAAATACTATTATGGCAATATCTTTTGTATGACTCAACTCTCCATTGTTTTCTGTCCTTCTGGACAATGTTCATGAGATTATTCACTAACAATTTTGTACTCCCTCCGTCCGGAAGTAATCTTCCTATTTCTCCTTTTTCCCCGTTTGAAAATAATCTTTCCATTTCTAATTTTACCCACAATCCTTCCAAAAATACCCTTATCTATCAAACTCCCTAGATCTACCCTCCATCCCTTCGCGTCCCCCACCCTTTTCTCTCTTCTCAATTTTTTCTTTCTTTCTTCTTCTTCTTTCTCTTTCTCTCTTCCTCTTCCCCACTGCATCTCCTCTTCTCTTCTTTTCCCCACTCTGGTTTTCTTCTTCTTTCTCTTTCTCTCTTCCTCTTCCCCCGTCCATCTTCTCTTCTCTTCTCTTCTCCCCTCTGTTTTTCTTCTTCTTTTTCTCCCCTTTCTTATATCTCTTCCATCTTCTAGATCTGAGCATGGCGGCGGCAATTGTGACCATGATGGCGGCGGCGATGGGGACGGTGACGGCGGTGGTGATGTGAGTCTAGATCTGCATTTCTTCGTCTTTTTCTTCTTCATCTTCTTTTAGATCTGCACCACGGTGGTGGGGTAGGTGGGGCTGGAGGTGAACGTGGGGCTGCCGCCGATGGTGAGGCTGCCGGCGGTAGTGGAGTGGCGGCGATGGTGAGGAGAAATGAGATGTGGTGTGACAGGCGGCAAAGGAGGGGCTGGGGGCAACGCTTGGACAGGGGCTGGTAAGGAAGGAGAGGAAGGGTATTTTAGGAAAATTACACTCAAAGTCAACCCTTCAAAAAATGAAGAAAAGTCCAAATGAGAAGATTTTTCCGGGACAAAGGGAGTACTTGGAACTTATGCATAAAGGCAAATTATAAAATATTGTTAACGTCGTCTGGATATGTATCTTCAAGATATCAACTTTTGCTTTGGTAAAATATAATTTCATATATATTAATGTTCGAGTTAGTGTATCACAGTGAAAGTGTTGCAACTAATGTGAAACATAGGAACAGTAATTTATTATTTTAAAATTTGTTTCTCAATAACCCAGTTTAGAAAACAATACAGAATGATGCATCAAATCAGTGCAACACTAAACAAAGATACTACAGAAATACACATTATTTTCCATTGTTACCTTTCTTCTCATTTCTAGACCCACTACTACTAGTACATATGCATCAAATAATAGGTTTCCCACTTGGTTTGTTTACTGCATGGTAGACAATAGTAACATATTCTATCCAAATAGTTTAAATTCAAAAACACACTATACAAACTTATATGGCACAAAATTTATATTCGCTCACATGAAGTCAAATATCGTTCCAACTTTCACATGTCAATCTAGGACATAAAAATAGCATTCAACATATAAAACGAGACATTGAGATTAACAAATTTAGCAATGTTGCAAATTGCATTTCTAAGCATCCAAATACAGAGATCAAAATTGGTGGAATTCTTCACCACTTACAAGTTACAGATAATCAAACCACTTATGTTTGCTCTTAAGTGAAGAGGGAGCTTAGTGTTAATCAAGCAAACTGGAGAGAAAACATAAAAGCTTATAGAGAAATGTAGATGGAAATCATGAATTATCGTCTATTAGAGACTGTAACTGTGACTGGAATTTTGATATTCTGCTAGCTTCCACTGCCATCACCAAACCGCTCATCCGGTAATCTTTTAGCTGTAGAGAGAGAGAGAGAGAGAGAGAGATGCGTCAAACTAAGGCGAATTCCATTATAACAATATCAAGGTGGTCTCCTCGCGTGAGACGGGACTAAATTCTAGTGCTTTAAATGTTGAAGGCGATACTTTTTACGGAAAAGTTTTTTTAGCGATCTTTAAAAAATGTGAACGAAAAACATGACATTTTCTATCATGCACAGAAAGAAACATAGGAGACGACGCTAACCTCATTGTCTCTGACTAGCTGAGAGTGCACGGGAAAAGTGAATGACCAAGAGCTTAGCTGGAATGGTAGTGTACTTTAAAGAGTCGGTCGCTGCTGATTGAAATGCAAACTTTAAGAAAAGAGCATCAGACAGTATTGATTTGTATGTACCTCATGAAAGATTTCCTCCTCAGGCTTCACATATATTATAGCATCGTCTATGCTTTTTCTTGGCACCCCTTTTTTATCTGCATTCTTATGCTGCAGGAAAAGAGAAGAAGATTACCAACACAAGACTATATGAATAAGATGGAAAAAAACAAGATTATCAGAAACAACTGAAAAAACACCTTGTATATTTTAGTGACCACTAGATAAGACTTGAAGCAAAAAGATTTCCGAAGCTCTTCTGTTGGCTGCAAGTTATGAAAAGAGAAAGTAGTTCAATTACTGCAAATTTTAATTATCTTGATAAAAAGCGACTTTCCCATCAAACCTCATCTTCTGTAGCCCAAGAGATTTCATCAAAGAGTGCACCATAAAGGGGTGGCAAAAGTTGGGGTGGAAGATTTGCTACACGTTGGGAAACTAAGAGCCCGGCATCCTTAGATTGCTCTTCAAGCAGAGAGCTCAATTTGGCGTGCACATTAGGGTCTTGGCATGCTTTAAGGAGGAGATTTTTCAGCTCCGCTATACACTTACTTGCCTGTAGTTCAAAAAAAGCCTTAAAGGTCCATTTGGAAAATAAAATGAGGAAAATATAGAAACTTTTTGGTAAGGAAAGATAAAGTGGAGGAAAATAAAACAATGATTCAAATTCAATAAATTTAGTTTTTTATACTAGTTCATATTCACACCATTTATTTATTCCAATCACACAAACATCTTCTGGTACCCAACCATAGCCTATATATCACGAGTAAGAAGTCCTAGACAGTGGAGGTCAATTAATACCCAACTTCTCTGACGGTCAGTTTCTATGCAATCAGAAGTGTTTAATGTCATAATAACAAGCAGACTGAGAGGGCAGTTGTCTGTTTTTTCTTTGGGGGGGGGGATAAAACGACATGCAAATATTTGCTGATGTTTATTTCCATGAGTAAAAGAAAAGGCGAAACAAATGCTCTTGCCTTATATCTTCCCAAGTTAAGGGCACTGATAACAGAGTAAATTCCCTCATCTTCATCGTCAGCTATTTTAACAACAGTCCCTACAGTGGGTTGTCCCAAGATTAAGTCAACGAAACCACTCAAATCCCACTGTTTATCGTCGAGATAGGTCTGCAGGAGAAGCTTCACTCCGTGAAAGTCATCAGGCTTTGGATCAAAGAACTCAAAGTCTGCTTGGACAGTAGTACCCTTTCAAATAAATAAGAATGTGTCAGAAGCATAAACAAATAATAACTATAAATAACAAAGAGCCCTTCAGTTCTTAGTTTCTTACTTCAAACTCTTCCTCATCGGAGGAATCAGAATGCAGGTTGTTCTTGCCTCCTGGTGTCTGATTTAGAACCCCACTACCTGGAGATACAAATTTAAGGACTGAAATTTCAACCGCTTCCTCAAGAAAAAGAAACTACTCTCTATATACAAGTTGCTAAAAATACTGCACCTGATGGGTTGGACAATATCTTTTCCTGCAGTCCATTAGAAATCTTGTGCTTGACATTGTTATATGAGGTAAGTTGGGCCACATATTGAGCAAATGGAGAGAAACCAAACGGTCTATATCTTGACAATCGCTGACGCTTTGCAATCTTACGAGGCATTATATAGTTTCTATTGATCTAGTAGCCCTGAATGAAAAGCACCAATCACAAACATGTCATTTCATGCAAACTGACGGCGTCTATACAATACATACGACCAAATATAAACTGGTTGACATAAATGGTAAACCGACTAAACTGATCTTATGTGAATGACCAAAGCGTTTCCTAAGATTGTAAGAAAGCTAACCCCCTAATCACCGATAGGTAACTAGAATCTAGGTATACAGTGGCAGGAAAACTCCAATTTACGGAGTATATAGGGAACTACGATCCTATTACACACGCGTGCGCGTATCATCATTATCTATACTTCCACATTTCTGCTCATTTACTTGTTCAGAATAAACATATATTTAGAATTAACCATTAACGTTGCAAAAGAGTTTGAGCACTTCTGCTTCTAACCACTCCTGTGTAGACCTTGACTTGTTATATGAATATTATATTTTTCCAGGGCACTTTTAAAAGTAGGGTCCCCAGCTTTTGTTGCTAATAGAAACCCTTACAAAGCAATACGAAGCTTTTCAGTTTTAGAGAATATTGCTTTAACTTGATAATGTTCCAAAATAGAAGATATAAATGACAAATTAGTACGAACTCAATCGCCCAGCTATTTATTTATTGTCGTGTATAATAGGGGAAGGCAAAGTTTATTTACATCTCACCCTCTGCCCCTCCCTAGATCATACATTCACACTTCTAGGTGGGAGCGGGACTTACTGGGTCAAATATAATTCTCTTGATTTAAAAACAAAACAGAAACACCTGACCCCTTCCCCTCTAAAGACAAAACCTCCTTCCAGACTGAAATTGATAATCAGAGGTTTATTTCATTATACTGAGGAGTAGACGTTACCTCTGCTACCTGCGCCGATTGGCAGAAGCTCTTGCCCTGCTTTTTGCTACTGAACGAAGAACAAAAATCTGCGAAAACGCCTCTGGCACTGCTGGTACCCTCTTGGACACTTCTCTCTATTTGGACTTATTACATTGGTTATGAACTCAAAAGCTATCTAATCTAGTAAAGAACATACTTTTAGATTAATCGTTAATTTTGCAATACAATTATTGCAATCATGCATAATAGCCGCAATATAATGCAAAATCATGGCACATTGGGGAGATTGATGAAAACAATCTTAACTATTACAGAGAGTTTCTTGTTTTTTGGATGTATATTCTCTTGATTGATTTGATCCTATGAAAAAGAAAAGTATACTGGCACTTGTTCTTCAAGATGTTTGGTTGAATCTTTCCATGACTGTGTAATTACATTCTCGTTCAGAGCCTTTATAACACAATATTTGGCCGTAGTCTTGTTGTCTTTGACTCCACAATGACCCAAACGACATCGTTCTTACGAGAAGATAAAGGTAGTCCAATCACGGAATCCATAGTGATCCGCTCCCACTTCCACTCGGGAATGGTAGGCGGATGTAACAGTCCGAACGGCACCTAATGCTCGGCCTTGACTTGCTGACAAGTCAAACAACGTGTTGTAAACTCGGAGATCTCTTTTTTCATAACAGGCCACCAATAATTACCCCTCACATCATGATACATCTTGTTGCTACCCGGATGCATGGCGTAAGCGGACTCATGAGCCTCGCGCAACAAGCGCTCCCTCATAGTCGCGTCTGGCACCACCAAACGATTCCGGTAGAACAAGATTCCATCTGTTCCCACGGTGAACTCTTGTCTCTCCCCCTTAGAGACCAGGTCGCGGGTCTTGCGGCAAAAACTCATCATTGGACTGCGCGCCGCGTATCTCCACATCCATGTTTGACCGCACGTGTAATTCAGCGATTAACTTGCGGCTCAAGGCATCAGCAACCACAATAGCCTTGCCTAGGTGGTACTCAATAGTGAAATCATAATCCTTTAGCAACTCTAGCCAGCGCCTCTATCTTAAGTTCAAATCTTTCTGCGTCAGCAAATATCTCAAGCTCTTATGATCAGTGAAGGTGGAAATCCTTTCTCCAAATACGTAGTGTCACCAAATCTTCAAGGCAAAAACGGCAGCTGCTAGCTCCAAGTCGTGCGTCGGATAGTTACTTTTGTGGGGTTTTAGTTGCCTTGAGGCATAAGCAACCACCTTATCATCCTGCATAAGTACACAGCCCAAACCACACAGGGATGCATCACTGTAAATCATATACTCGCGGCCCGGTTCCGGTTGAGTCTGCACCGGTGCCTTAGTCAAATACTCCTTCAGACGGTCAAGCTGTTCTGACATGCATCAGACCACACGAACGGTCAAAGCTATTCTAGAATTCATCACACCACACAAACTTCACATCCTTTTGCAACAATTTATTCAGCGGGGAGGCGATCGTAGAAAAATCCTTCACAAATCGACGGTAGTAGCCAGCCAATCCAAGAAAGCTTCTCACCCCCCAAGCATTGCGAGGAATTTTCCAATCAACTACAGCGGCGATTTTACTTGGATCGATCTTCACCCCTTCAACAGAGATCACGTGACCTAAGAAGGTCACCTCATTAAGCCAATACTCGCACTTGGATAATTTAGCATAGAGCTTCTGTTCCCTTAGAATTCTCAACACCTTCTGAAGATGAAGCGCATGCTCCTCCGTGTGCTTCGAATGCCCCAAAATGTTGCCGATGAAGACCAAATCACTCCAACCCCCAAGCAGTCACCAAATTTCCAAATTCAATTCAATTTCAATTTTAATCTCAATAAACCACACAACTCAACAATCATATTCACAAATTCAACTTCAATTGGATGACAACATATTAACGAATCCTAATCTATGAATTAATTCTAACGAAATATAACAACCACTCACCTCGAGTACATTGGCGAGAAACATAAATTGAATCAATATGGAATTTCTCAGGAGAAGCTTCACGAGACACTCTCTTCTCCGTTTCGTGCATAGCAGAAAGACGAAGACAGAAGAATATGTAGACGGTAATGAGAGTTTGTCTAAAACATAGATCCCGCTCTCCCTAAACCCTTCTAAAACTCCGTACATTTAAAGACTTGAAAAGCGTTAAGGGTTATGCGGATAGGAGTAGAATTTGGATTTAGTTTAATTATTATTTTATTATAAAAGTCTTCATTTGTTTATTGAATTTTAACGTCTATTTTAGTCACCACAGTTTACCAAGGAAGCCCAAATTACTTTACCTTTTTTTAAACAAGGTACCTTTGTTCTTACTGCATTTATTTATTTTTTTTAATCTTGTTTTTAAAGAAAAACACATTTCTTCTTCTTTTTACATTACTTGACATTGTCAATTCCGTATGACCTCGAAATAAAACACTTCATTCATCTAGGTCTATAGCCCCTTCTGAATTCGGTTGTCATTTCAGTGATCAGTGCAACGATTAAATATTAAATAAAGTATTTTTTGTGTATATATATTTTTACGACTTTGTTTTCAATTGGTTCACCAATCTTCATCCATGAAATAATCAAATTTTTTTTATACCAAACTTCCGTCCAATCCAAAATCAATTGGTTTTAACCAACTACATCTAATCACTATTGCGGAGTATTTTTTTTGTCATTGTTTTCTTTTTCTTTTTGTAACTTATCACCTTAAAACCTTAGCAGCTCAACTTCAAAAGTACTTTGACAACAATTTTTTTTCTTCTTGAAGTCGCTTACGCGCTAAGTTAGCACGTGACGCATGATTTTCTTTTAGTAACATGATCGCACTAATCTTCATGAATAATTATGAATGCTTCTTCTATAATTTACTTCTTCGGGATTCACTACACATTCATTTCTATAACCAACTTTTTTTTAAATTTAATTAATTTTTTTTCTCAATCTTCTTTTGTGTTCCCTTTTTTTTGAAACTTCTTTTTTGATAAACCACATGTTAGTTAACAAACAAAACCACAAACAATCAAGACAACAATTTTGCATAAACACATAATATGGATTCAGAATTACCTCCTGGAGCAGTGACGTCGCGAAACTGTGGATGCCCATTTTCAGAACTATTCAATTTTTTTTTTGAGATTTTCATTTTCATTTATTCATGTTTTTTTCGAAGACATACATTTAATTATATATATTGAAAAGTATACATTTAACTATACTTTTTTCGAAATTATACATTTAATTAATTTGGCAAAGAATCGTTTTTGAAACCACGTTCTCTGATACCAAAATGTAACACCCCAACTCGCGTAACCTGAACCAAGGAGTTAACGAATCGGGTTGCTACTAAATTGATATTCACAACACAACAATTTAGACCGATTATTCAAAACATCCAGACACCCAGTTAGTTACGAAAAGTTCAGAGTAAAGTCTATCAAGAGCAGAAGTCTCAAAATAATGTTCTACCATAAATGTTTAACATAAATAATTAATTAACGCAATAATTAAATGTCCATAATAAAAATGGAGACATCATCCACGGCATCATGCGTCAACGTCCTCCAGGCTGGCCCTCTTAATCCAAATCCCTACCTGCGTGCAGTCAAAGACAACAAGACTACACGCTCAGCTGGAAGTTGAGTGAGAAAAATATCTAACGCTAGAATTAATTTCACAAATAGTATCACATTTATACAATCAGCAACATCAGTGACCAATCAACATTTATTTTCAGATACAAGGATCCAATTCTTTTACTCCCAAAGGGCTATTTCTGTCCCTACAACACTAAGGCTAAAATTCAACATACTAGAGTTACGGACACTCGAGCGGATCCCTCAAGGCCGATGCTCGGACAACCTCAAAGAGAATCCTCAATAGGCGGGTTGGAGTCTCAACCAAGGAATCTCTTAGGTAGAATAGTGACTCACGTACGTACGTTTTGAACCCTGGACCACTGGATATGCAAACATACTCCACAAGGTCCGAACCTAACAACAATCCTATTGGTGATTAAACTATCCAATTCAGTTCAAATTGGATAAATTGGGTCCAAATTGGACCCAACCAATCCGTCAATAACCCCTGCCGGCGGTCCACCCCGAGCCCTTGCCGGAGTCCGGCCGGAAAATCTTACCAAAGTAACCCACAACCAATTCAACATTCAATTTAACAATTCCAACAATCAATTCACACAAATTCACAATCAATCGCAAGATTAATACAAACAAGATCCTAATCTACGAATTAACTCTAACGGAAGATATTTGGACAAAGAATCGCACCTCGAGATTGAAGAACTACTATTTTAAATCGAAGGGAGATAGCCGCTGCCCTGGTTCGGCCGAATCTACTGTGCGACAGGGGAAGGAGGGGCGGTCGGTGAAGGCGACATCCAAGCGGCTCGGCGGCGTTGCTGCGTTTGCTGGTTGGCGGGCGACGGACGGGAATCCAGCAGCAGAAACTAACGGAGTAACGGAAGAAAACGTGAGGAGGAGAGACCGTAAGTTTTGTAACCCCTACCAATTTAATATATTCAAAAACATTTCTACTTTCTCCATACCTAAAAATATTTCTCATTTCTATTAAAAAAGCAATTTTATCCCTTACTTTTTCATACCCTACCTATCACATCATACCTTTTTACTAATAATCTATCCATCAAATCATACTTTTACACATCACATCAAAGGACATTTTTAGAAATTCAATACCAAAATACACTCCCTTAAATCCCTCTTCAAAATCAAAACTTCCATGTTTTTCGGGACGGAGGGAGTATAAAATTAAATAGACTTTAGAGTCCAGTTTACACTTCCTAACCAGTTAGAATCGATTTAGGCCCAATTATTTCATTCGTAGCTGTATCTTGGGCTCCATAAGCCCGATTCTCAATCTGTTTGCGCGGTCGGGTTCAAAACAGCGAGCCCTACAACGTAGGTCAACTCTCGTATTAAATATGAAATTTAGAAAATAATCTTTGTATTGACCGACTCAGAAATTAATTTATCATATACAGAGTATATTAATTAAAATACTAAGTCGGGTTTCGGGACGTTACAAAACATGGCATGAAGATCAAGTTAAAACGAGAACCAAGAAAAAAGAACGAAGACGTAGAAATAGTTGAGTCGGTCTTTATGTGATCAAGATCGACATCAACTTTACAAATTGATTCTCTAGGCTAAATTCATTCAAATGTTTTCATGCATCATTAAAATCACTTTCATAAAGCTTTAATAAGCCTAAAACACTTGGAGTTCGCTCAAACCAAAAACCAAGTCATTTGGCGTTCAGCTTTCAGAAACCAGCATTCGGGTTTAAGAAACCGGCGTTCATCATTCGGTTATCAGTGTTGGTTTTTGGCGTCCGAACCAACCAAGTGGTTTTTAACCTCTTATGATTGGTTTTTACTTCTAGCATATTTAAATAGTTCTCCAACCAAAACGCTTCAAAAACCACCTTTCGTTGTTCGTCGTTTGGTAAAAACCATGTGAAACGGCATAAACTTGGCTAGCCGTGGTTTCAACCTAAATGACGTCGTTTTTAAGATGTTTCACTTAGTCTCTTAGTAAAATACATTAAATAAGTGTTTTATACTTGGTTTTAAATTTGGAGAACTTTGATTTTTGACATCGACTTTCGGCGTTGACTGACTACCCAACAGCGATGTTGGAGTGCCCAACAATGCTGTTTGGTGTTGGCACCTAAAAACCATGGTTTGGCGGGTAAATTTCAGTAATGGTACCTGAACTTTCACTAGAATTTCGAAGTGGTAGCTGAATTTACATAATCTTTTCACTAAAAGTCCATTTCCCCGTTTCAAGGTAAGCTTCCGGTTATTTGGGCAAAATTAGAATTTTATATATTTTAAAAATTTCAATTTGACCTCATTTTTTTTCTTCTTCTTCCCCTTCCCACTCCCTTCCTTTTCTTCTTCTATCACCCCCTTTCTTCTTCTTCCGGCCGTGGACGACGAGGTTGTGGGAGGTGACTTATTAGAAGCATTCTCTAATAGTCTCTGCATATTGTAATAACAATTAAGCTATGAGTATTCCCACATATAGTCTTTCTGGTAAATCTCCAAGTTAGTTAGGTTTTAGTAACTCTACCCACCATTGATGGTAACTAACTTATTCCATCAAGTCATTTTTTTACGTTCTATCGTTTTAATGTTAAATTGAAAGCTAAAAATATAATATCACATCGATCGTATCTCTAGTGACATGTTTTGATTTCGGCTTGATGGACAATACAAGAATAATAACAATTTGGTCTAAATAAAAATCTAAATCGACAAATTAGGTCCCCCATGGATCTACATTTGAGCAAAACAAACATTTCTTTACTATTTAAATAAGCATCAATTCTTTTTAATAAAAATATTTAAAAAATAAGATTTTTAAAAAATATTTAAAAAATAAGATGAACTATATATAGAAGCACTCATCTAAATTATTTGAGTTGTCAAATAAGTAATTTGAATCAAATTTAGATTTGAATTCTAAATTTATGTTCTCAAAGAGACTATAAGAATTTGTAAATTTTAGAGAATATTTTTGTAAGAGTAACACAAATCTCTAAAATAAAAGATTTTTCAAATCATCATTTCATCAAATTTTTCCATCAAGAGGATAAAGGTATTCAAAACCTGAAATAACTTAAAAAGCTGAAGTCATTTTACTTAATATAAAAAATTACGTAGTATAATTATTTTATTTTTGGTAAATACCTTAAACATCTTTGTTCTTAAGAAAAAAGCCATCATCTTCATTCATCTCAGCGGTATTCAATATTCAAGCTTTCGGTTTGCGAACGCCGAACATCTGCTCACCTCACTAGGAACAATTTTAGCCTCAACCAGTAATCCCCGGATGATAATTCAATCCGCTGACCTCTTACGGAATGCCCACAAACTGTTCGTGATATTTCCCAAACGGAAATTTTCAGCCAGAACCTCAATTTACAATGTAACTCAGGAACCACATTCTCAAGGCCCAGCCCGCGTCCCGTTTGGAATTGAAAACGATGATGTGGTGTCATGGACATGGACAATCTCAGATTTTGTAAAGAAGAACCAGCCACAAAAGGCCATTGGTCTATTCAAAAGAATGCTTATGAGTAATCAAAGGCCGAACTATGTCACAGTTCTCAGCTCCATTCAAGCATCTTCTTCTATGGGTTCGGAAATGCTGGGGATGGAGATTCACTCTTTTGCTGTAAAAATGGGATTTGAATCAGAAACACCGATTATTACAGCACTTCTTGGTTTTTATTCTGTTTGGGACATGGGATCTGCATTTAAGCTGTTTCTACTGGCACCAGAGAAAGATGTTATTTTGTGGAGTGCAACGATATCTGCTTTTGTGAAGGCTGGAGAGTATATCATGGCCATTGATCTTTTTAAAGAAATGCAATTGTGTGGGGTTGAACCAAACTATGTTAGCATTTTGAGTGTCATACCTGCTTGTGCCAACCTTTCTGATTTGAGAAGTGGGAGAGAGCTACATGGGCTTTCCATCAAAAGGTCATTTATCTCTCATCTTAATGTTCAGAATTCACTCTTGGATATGTATGCTAAGTGTGGGAGCTTAAATGAGTCTATTAGCATTTTTGAAAATATAGAAAGGAAGGATCTTGTTTCGTGGAAAAATATTATTACTGGGTGCATTAATAATGACTGTCCAAGAGTAGCCTTGAACTATTTCCAAGCAATGCAGATATATTGCTTCGAGATGGATGAGAGAATCATACGGGAGGTAATTGGAATGTCTTCCAGATTGGATGATACAAAAACTGGACAAGGAATCCATAGCTTTGCACTAAAATCTGGATTTTTGGAATGTGTGTCTGTTGTCACTTCACTTCTTCAAATGTATGCTACCTCTGGTAATATTGAATCAGCAAGGAGTTTATTCGATTCACTTGGGCAAAAAGATATCATTGCTTGGAGTGCAATGATCTCAGCTTATGCACAAAGTGAGCAACCCAGTAATGCTCTAACTATATTTAAATGGATGCAATTGGAAGAAAAGAAGGCTAACGAGTTTTCTTTTGTTAGCTTACTGCAAGCTTGCTCTTCAATGGCAGCACAAGATTTTGGAGAAGCTGTACATGCACAGGTTCTAAAATTCGGTTTTACATCCAATGCATTTGTGGCATCTGCTTTAATTGATATGTATTGTAAATTTGGAAGAATACATCAAGGGAAGGCCTTTTTCGATGAAAAGTCTAAGAAAGACCTTGTATGTTGGAGTTCAATGATCAATGGGTATGGGATTAATGGGCATGGGAGTGAGGCTCTCGAGTGTTTCTTGGACATGTTGTCTTATGGGGTACAGCCAAACGATGTTGTTTTCATATCTGTGCTTTCTGCTTGTAGTCATTGTGGCTTAGAATATGAGGCATGGAACTGGTTCCATGTGATGGAAGAGAAGTATGATATTACACCAAAACTTGCGCACTATGCTTGTATGGTGGATATGCTTAGTCGTCAAGGGAATGTAGAACAAGCTCTTGAGTTTGTGAATAAAATGCCCATCGAGCCAGATAAGCGGATATGGGGAGCTGTGCTTGCTGGATGTAGAAAAACTCATGGATCAAGTGAGATTTCTGAACTAGTTGCCAAACAGCTTATCTCTTTGGAACCAAAAAATGCTAGCCATTATGTCGTTCTATCAAATTTATATGCTGATCAGGGCAAATGGGAAGAGGTAGAGAAGTTGAGGCAATTGATAAATGGAAAGACGAGAAAGAAATGGATGGGTTATAGTGCCATTTAACTCAATGCATAGCATGAGATTCGAATTAGCTAAACTTTATCATAAATTTTATTGCTTTGATGTTATCCTTAGTGATTAGCTATAGCCCAATCCCTTTTACATAAATTAGATTCTGCAGTGTCAAAAATTGCCATATTTAGTATTTACTGATACAACAAATCAACAGTGACATGCGGCGATATTTGCAGTTTTGGTACACAGAAATTTGAAAAGGATGGATCTGGAGGCTAAAGCTAAGTGCACCATCCTGAAATGGGACAAACCAACTCAACCCTGATAGGAGTAGTGCGAAGGGCTCTTATGCAATGACTCAGGACTCAGGAAAAAAGGATGTTGGCACTGTCAGGACTCAGGAAAAAGGATGTTGGCACTGTCTTATTTTCTGAACTTGCTTAAAATATGCATTTCTCAAAAAAATGGTCTCAAATCTTTGTTGAAGCCCTCCCATCGCCACCGCCCTCCACGATGCCCACCGCTTCTCTCACTGCTCCCTCTGCTTCTCTCATCTCCCTTTCGCCCCAAATTTCTCTACCCATCAAGTCCCCGCCTCTTTCCTTTGTTACTGCTCCCCTCACGGCTCTTCCATCGACTCTCCCATCCACTTCTCTTCGCCACTCTCCTGCTATCATGGACACCTCCGGCCTCTGCCTCTCCCTCCGTCTCCTCCGCCGATTCCAAATTCTTTGTCTCGTTTCCGGAAACGACGGTGTTTTGGACAGGACCGGAGGTTTGATGACCAACCACGAGGAATTGTTGATGATGGTGGACACTCGTGAGGATGTGGTCACCAATGAGGTGTTCGAGAGAATCAAAGAAGGCTCTAGAGCTATGGCATTTGCAAGGAGGATGCTGAGCAATCTGAATTCGGAATCTCCTTTGGCTGGAGACTGTGATTTGGAGGAGGCTGTGCTATGCTTTGTGCTAACTAACGCCGTGGAGGTGCAGGACAGTGCAGGGCGCAGCGTTGGAGTAGCTGTTTATGGTCCAAGCTTCTCTTGGAACAACCATGGCTGCTCTCCCAATTGTTCCTGCAGGTTCTCAACAATGCCCTGCTCCATATTTGCTTCGCCATGGTGTATACATCCAAAGTACACAGATGGTGATGGTGGAAATGGAAGTGAACATATCAACACTAGTTCTAATTTCAAATTCTTATCGTCACTGGGTAACCTTTGGTCATTGCTCACTAGCATTTCAATCTCAGAAGAATGCTATTCACTTCCTAGCATAACTTTATTTTGATGATGATGATGAGTGTTAGAGACTTAGAAAGTTCTTTTCACATAAGATCCTTATACTGTATTTTATTGGTGAATTTAGGTATTATTTTTGCAGGGAGTGAGAAAGAATGTGGCCCGAGATTGTTTGTTCGCAGCATAAAGGATATTAAGAAAGGAGAGGAGCTGCTAATAACATACACAGACTTGTTACAGCCTAAGGTAGTAAGGTGAGATTTCCTAAATCTATGCTAATAACTTCCTTATTTAATGCTTCATTGGACAGTTTTTTGTATTCATTTTAGAATCATCTACCTCAAAAGTGGAACTTGAATTTCCTTGTGTTTTTAGGGGATGAGACAATCTGAACTGTGGTTAAGGTACCGATTTTGTTGCTGTTGCGATAGATGTAATGCTGAACATATGGGGATCATATTTTGGAGGCGATGAAGGTAGCGTAATGATTTTTCTTTCAGTTTGAAATCCTTTTGTAAAATTTAAAATGATTTAAGTGATTGAATCTGTTGAAATTGTGGCTGTAATGGTTGAATTGACTTAATCCTCTAAAAAGAATTATTTAACATGTACTCGTATATTAATATAACTAATTATAAAAACAAAAGCTTAAATTAGGAGGATCAATTTCAGACAAATGATACCCTTTTTTATCATGCAATTCAACAGTTCACGTAGTTAGCGACTTCGTGTTTTAGGAAAAACTGACCAATAAGGCTAGTTAGTTAACAAATGAAGCTGGCCAATCACAATCTTCATTCCAGTAACAATCAACATATGTCTTCTGATCAACTGTTAGCTATTGTTTGGGTGGTGAGAAATTGGTGAGAAAGAAAATGTGGAGTGCGAAAACACAACTCCCAATTCATTTTCTCTTGTTTGTTTACATAAGAAAATGAGAAGAGAAAAAGTGGGTGGGTCCAGACTAAAAAATTCTCTCACCTCATGCGGTGAGAAAAGCATCTTTGGGAGAAAAAAAGTGAATTTACAATTTTACCCTTATTGTTAATCTTTCAACATCTCTTTAAAAAGGATAAAAATGGCTTTTTGTTGTATCATGTTTTCTTTCTAATCACTTTTTCTTATCATTTTCTCATCATCCAAACAACTATTATTTTACTTCCATTTTCTCTTCATTTTCTTTCTTTCCATTTTCTTTTCTCATCCAAACAAAGGGTTAATGTTTCTTCTACTGCGTTATACAGGAACTTTCTTTTAGGAATCTTGAGTGTTCAGCCTTGACCACTAGTAGCAACTTTTCATTGGGATTTTACCGTGGAGAAGTTGGTTGAATGGTTCGATGATGCTGTAAACAATTTTCCAACAACCCCATATCATTTTCAAAGCTCGAGAACTTGATTACTTATGGCCATCCTATTGAAGATAAATGTCATTCGCTCAAGCTTCTTCCCTTTCACTGTCTTTCTTTAAATGCCTACACTGTCCTTGCCTCAGCCCCATAAAGCCTTGGCAAGTGAGTCATTGCCTTCTAGCCATGGGAACGATATGTGCGGACTCCAGTCTCTCAGTTTCAGCAGGGCCAGTGCTGGCTACTCCTTGTTGCGTGCATGTTCAGCTCACCATTTGCTCCTTTTTGAGCCTTCTCTTATAGTCTCTGCTGCTACATTTTGGACAGCTGCAGGCGAGTCCTTGCTAAGCCACAGAACTTGCCCCATTCTCTAGTCGAAGTTGTGACAAATGCTCACTTCACAAACAGGATTTGAATGTGGAATTCCAAGAAATAATAAATTTGACGCCAAATGTCTGGCATATTCTAGCCGAGGGTGGGTTCTTGAAGCTAGTTAAGGACCCCATTGACTTCAAATGGATTGGGAGCACAGAGCTTTCAGTATTGGCTCCACCTATTCATGTTGCTGACAGCTCCGAAATGAAGTCCAATGCTGAAACTGAAGGTGCAGGGCTGCAGGCCTTAACGATGTAACAACGTCTGTTTCAAGTTGGTTTACATTGCTCATTATATGGATCTTTCTTGTCAAGTGTATGCTCCGCTAGCTAATTAAAGGTATGTTTCTAGCGTAAATTACATGCACCATAAAAATTGTTACATCATATTATTATTATTATTATTGTCATCATCGTCACCATCATTATTAATGAGCCTTTGGTTCCTTTCTTTCCCTATTTTAAACATTAAAGATAAAACTTGTCTATTTGAGTCTTTGATATAGAAAAGGTGGATAAAGGCATATAGGCCATATGAGGGGTGGAGTTAGCAACAACCTTCGTATTATGCTTGTGATTCTGCCTTAAAATCAAATGAATAGATGTGAAATGCTAAACATAGTAAAGGTGAAGAGCAGTAGAGCACATTTATACAACTGATGATGCAAGTTTATTCATTCTGAAATGATCAAAATACTGAGTGAATAATAATTTCAAAATATAACAAAGACACTCGTGTCATCATCAGATCACTAGCTAGCAGCTGGGCGGGGGCAAGTCAAGCAGACGGTGGTGCTCCGGGAAGAGGTGCAGGCGGGCCACAGTAGTGGCGGAGGATGTCAGCCTCTTCAGCAGTGAAGCCGATGGAAGTGAGCATGGAAGGCCAGCAGTCGTACATGATAGTACGTATGGACTTGCAACAGTCTTTCCCCAAATACGCCTCTCCGTTGAAGAAGAAAAGTATGATCTCATTTGTGCACGCCTTCAGCCCCGCCAATGCGTCCCCACATTGAGCCGCCGTGCCGCCACCACCTCCAGCATCTAGTCTTCCGCCAATCCCGTAGCCTGCAGCCACCTTCGCATCTGTCATTGCCGGCCGCCCGTCTGCTGCGGCTAAAAGAACCCACGGCAGTGCTGCTGCTAGTATGAGTGGGATTAATAACTTCATCATGTCTTTAATGTCTTCTTCTTTTTAAATAAAAAAAGTACTCTAAATATATATAATCGTACAGAAATGGATATATATATATATATATATATATATATATATATATATATATATATAGTCGGTATGTAAAGAGGGGGTACGTATTCTGTAACCTATGGAGGGAGGGAGGTGAAGGGACTGGAAAAATTACTTAATTGCATGATTAATTAGGAGTAATAATTATGGTGTTGTGATTTGTGAAAAGGCTATGGAATGCAAGTCGCAATGGTAAATCATGTGCTCCGTAATTAACTCCACATCAGTGGCAAAATAGGAAAAACTTAGAGGTATCCCAGTGTAACCCAAGTGTACACCACTCTTTTCATAGACATACATTGTTTGTCTATCGTTTGTGTGAAACACAGACAGTGAGTGCCAGTGAGAAGGGTGGTGTACACTTAGAATACATCACCTGAGGTACCCCTAGTAGACCCGTGAGGATTTTCTAGGAATAACATTGCCCTAACAATTTTTTTTGGGTAATATTATAAACTTGCTAAGTGTACCAATATTTTGTAATTCCTTAGTCCCGTAAAATTTGTCAACTCTCTCATATTACATGTCTCATAAAACATTTTAATTTGACTTAAATGGACACAATTACTCTTATTTTTCATAAATCTAACTGAATCTATGCCTTCTACATCCTATCTGTTTTGACATTTTCCGAATCCAACTCGTTTTAATTGCCGTCGTTTAGCCTTGGTCAAATTTTCATAACTTCCCTTCCCAAAATTCAAAACAAGATTTGTTTTACATAATATTTTTTGGTATTGTGCATTGATCTTATTTAAAACTACAAGTCTAATTTTGGTATGAAAATAATAAAAATATTATATTGGTATTTAAAAATGTTTTAGCCTTAGATATTTCTTCTAAATGGTTTTTTAGTATGTCTGGGTCAAGAAATTTGAAAGGAAAAAAAAAGGAATTTAAGTTTTTCTTGTTTGCTTACAGAGGAAAAGAAAAGAAAAGTGGAAGAAAATGTAAATGTAAGAAGAAATGAACTAAAGAGAAGGAATACATGTTTTGCAATTACCTCCCGTATGATTCTCTCATCCATCTCGAAGCAATATATTTGCATCGCAGACAAATAATTCAAGGCTACTTGTGGACACTCATTGTTATTAATGAATCCAATAATAATAATAATAATAATAATAATAATAATAATAATAATTTTCCACGAAACCAGATTCTTCCTTTCTTTAATATCAAAAATACTAATGGATTCTTTTAAGCACCCACACTTAGCATACATAGCCAAGAGTGAATTCTGAACATTGAAATGAGACATAAATGACTAGGGGTGAGCGTGGTACGGTATGTTACGGTATTTAGCTCGTACCGATACCGTACCAAATATTTCAGTTCGGTATGGGATTTTACATTGTACCAATCCCGATCCCAAAGCATCGGTTCGGTATGGTTCGGTATCGGTTTAGTTACGAATTGAGATGAATATATACGTACCTAGTTTACATTACAAAATGTAACAAAACCTTTTATTTTTGAAAAATCGAATGTACATTTAACCAAAGAAAGATAAAAAAAATTAAAAAATAAAATTCAAGAAATGTTTATGAAAGTTAGTTTATATTTCACAAACTAAAGAGAACGAGTGATAATAAAGTATTATTTCAAATATTTGTTAATATTCTTCTACTCATATACAAAAAATAAAAAAACTCTTATTAAAGTGCAACTTAAACATAATGAAAATAAACTAAATTGTCTATATAAATTGTTTATTTAATGAAGAAATATAAAAAAGATTATTATTTTATAATATATTAGTATATATGTTCGGTTCGGGAATTTCGGTATGGGAAGTAACCTCGTACCGTTCCCAAATACCGGACCGACCGTTCGGTACGGTTCGGGTTCTTTTCGGTACTTTATCGGTTTGGTATTTTTCGATTCGGTATTCTCGGTTTTTTCGGGAAATATCGGGATCAGTACGGTCTTTGCTCACCCCTATAAATGACCTTTTTATGGGAATCCCATGTAGTTCTCTCCCACTTCTCAAATCACAAAGGTTTGCACAAGTACATATAAAATAATACCCTTTCTCGAAACAACTTAAATGCAGATTCCATGTCCCAATCAGAACAAAAACCAAGAATTGCTGTAATAATCGGTGTTTCCGGTTCAAATCCCGTTTTTACAGCAATAAACAATGAATCTCCATCCCCAGCATTTCCGAACCCATAAAGGAAGATGATATATTTTGTTTGTTAGTCGATGATAAATTTTGTTCGGTCATTAAGTTATAACTACCTCTGACTAGAATTTGTTGTTCATTCTCTAAAACATCTCATTTTTTAACCAACGGACCGTAAAATATCAAACAAGTCCTTGAAATAATTTTAGAGAAACAAAACAAAGAGAGTGAACAACTAATTACGGACAAAAAGTAGTCATAAAATGGACATTGATTTTATACGACTTTCAACTGTACTCTCGTACATCAGTACCAAGTCACCCAAACTTAACAGTAGAAATATAAACTCTGCCCTAAGCTCATCATGCAAATAAACTCCCCAAAAGAAATAATGCAATCCAAATGACAGAAACCTTACACACAAGATAGTACTAGAAGATCAAAACAGTACTAAAAAGCAGCCACAGGTATATGGTATACTTTGAGTAAACTCTTTACCAGCCTTTATTATACCCAGAGTCAGCACTTGGCGATGGTCCAGCGGCTCTCCTCATAGCTAATGATTTGGCAAGCAGAGCCTCGGCATTGGTCTGATCAAACCACATCATATTCAATATTAGCAACATGAGGAGGAGGAGCAAATATGAGCAGAGGTATTAAAGAGAAGGATAAAATTGCCCACCCGTTTATCAAAGGCATCATCTCCTCTTTGATAAATCCTGTCTGCAAGGCCATAGTCAATGGCCTCTTGCGGGGACAGATATTTAGTCCGCCGAATATCTCTCTCTATCTCTTCCTTTGGTTTACCCACACTCCTTGACAATAGATCCAGATAACTATCTGCGTTTGCCTCCAGTTCCTTTGACTGTAAGTAACTAATCCATGCATCACATTCTCGTTTTAGAAATACGAGAGAGAGAAAGAAAGAGAAAGAGAGGGCCAGACCTTAATCCACATATCCGTGGCGGGTCCACTTGATTTGCTAATACTAGGCAGATAAAGTTTTGCTGCGTTCCACCAAATAGAATGAAACTGACATAATAAATCACAGCACTGGATGTACGGACAACATCAAAAAAGCATAACACAAAAAGAAGGAGAAAAATGAGTATGATAGGAAATACTGGACGCGTGTGGCAGTAAGGCTCGGTAGCCTTTCTTCCCAAGTCCCAAAAGCATAGCTGCTTGACCATGTGCCATACCAACATTCACTGTGTACACAGGTGCTTTGCAGAACTGCGGAGAAGAAGAGACAACGGCTAGGTGAAACGTATTAGACCCACCAGATGAAAACTACAGTACCTCCCAAATCATTTTAAGTGTGATGATTATCATGCCGAAATACTCACACCTATGGAATCAGCTATTGCATATGCATCTGTTTCAGAGCCAACCAACTCCCTCTCTTCACTCTGTGCAAACAAAAAAAATGTAAAGAAGCAAGTGACCAAGGATGAGTACAATTTTAAAGAGTCCTAAAGGTAAAATCTTTTTCTATCCCTATTAGAATTAGAGCCTAACAATGTCGCCCTTTCATATAATTATATATATATATATACACACACACACTATACTATTGTTATTACTTATTAATTATTATCATTATTACTGTTTGTTAGATGGAAGCATGAGTGGCATAAACTAATCAACTAACCTGGGTGCCAGATGAATTAATATAGAGATGTATAGGCTTTGTGGAGTTGTCAAAATCTAACCACATAAACTGAGCAAGAACCAGCTCAGTAACGGATGGCACAATCTGTCGGAGCAAATGCAAAACCCAGGGGGAGAGTTCAATCATATTTAGAATAAGCACAATTCATTTATTAAACCCATAATAGAGTACAGTTTATTCTAAGACAGGATATAGAGACAGTAGTACAGAACCGGCATGCCCAGAAACACGATTCGAGCATCTAGAAGCTCTGAAGGTAAATCGGGAGGCTCAGATTTTGAACGGGGAACGGACCCTCTTGCCGCTCCACCATACATGGTTATACTAGGGCTGTAATTTTCAGAACCTTCAATGGTGTACATCCCACCATTGTTCAAATAATTGTGTCTTGATGATATGCTTTCCTGTGAGATCACAGATGAACCATCAATCAAGGCCTGGTTTTTGATTACTATAAGTGTCAGAGAGATGACATATAGACTGCACAACAAAAATAAACCTCATTGACGCTTTTGGATTGCCTGTGAACAGGGTTATCTTCTGTCATGAACATGTTCATCTGTGACGGAGAAAGGCCGTAGAGAGTGCGGGGTACATTTTTATAGTTCTCCATCACTACAAAGAAATAAAATCTAAGCTAAAACCGATAACAAAGAAATTTTCAGAAATGTATTGCAAACAAGTGGCTTCACACAAGTTAAAGAGGTAATTTTAGGAAAATGGGAGATATAGCTACTACGCAATTTCATGAAATCTACCACAAATATCTGAATGAATACAATCATAAGCCTGCTTGACTATGATATTTGCATTTTGGTCTTCAGAGATCAAAACAAAATATAGACAGCAATCATTGCCCAATTTCTATTCATAAATCAGCATTAATGACCAGAAAAATAGCCAAAAATTGCAGGAAATGAAAATTCAGAACAGAAATCCACAAGAATTGCTAATAAATAAAAGGGAATATCAGATTCAATAATCAACCTCTAAAAATGATAGCTACGGAAGTGAACCCNAAAAGGGTTAATGAAACTGACACCCATCTTTGAGATTCTCCCCACGGAACTGTTTGGGTATTCGGTCGAGACGAGACTTTGAAGCTTCGGGAGAAGAGAAATCTCCTCCCAAACTGTTCTTCTTCGTTCTGCGGCTGGGTGAAAATGTGAGCTTAGGGGTAGAAAAAAAGCTGGATTTCTGGATCCCAAGACAACCGCAGTTGTCCCACCTGCAGCCGGCAGTCGCCGGACCGTGAAGCCCAGGGAGAAGCAAAGAAGAAGTCATAGAATTCGGACGGTATCACTTTCTCCTGGGTCAAACAGGTGCGTTAGGTTTGCTTCATTGAGATGTCATATGAATTCCTCAGTGCTTAGATTTGAGAAGGCGAAGAATAAGTGGCTGTGGCATCCTGCAAAAAAGAGCATGTACCCTAAAATTTTTATCTCATATCCCGCAAAAAAGAGCATATACCCTAAAATTTGTATCTACACTAAAGATATACACCAATATTTTGATGGTTCACACTGACAAAAAATGTTAGTGCATTAACAAAAATTTACATTAACACAAAATGTTGTTGCGTTAACAAAAATTAGCATTACACCAACACAAAATGTTGATGCATCCTACGGTGTACAAAATGGGTACAAATTCTTGGGTTACAAATAGTTTTATCCAAAAAAAAGCATATTCGAAGAATTTAAGAAAATATTAACAAAAATAATAAAATCAATGATTCATTGTTAAGTTGCCGTCGAATAGAGATGATGATTTTTGAAGGGTCTAAACAGTGTCGTTTGAAGGTCCAACTCATCCTTAACCCCCCGACCAATCTTCGGAAAAGATACGCCTTCTCCCCTCGAAATTGTTTTGCTCTTCGTTCTCCTTAGCTAATTCCATCGTTGTCAACCCGAGTATACTGCATCTTGTCGTCGGATACCTTCAATTACCACCATACCTTTGTTTACCATGAACAAATACTCTCTTTTAGAGTGGATATTGAGTAAAACATATACGCTCAAGAACAACTCAAACTTCACACAATTTTGGCTCTAGAAAGCTATGGAAAAAGATGTTATATGAATGCAATGATAATGTGTGTAATGTGAAGTGAATTGATGTGTAACGCAGACCCAAACAGCCCTTTTTATAGTTCCAAAATAAACTCCAACGGATCAAAACATTTAAGGGGTGATTAGCATGATTTGTGGGATTAATGTTAAAATGTGGATCTGCAGGAAATCAGCCTACCCAGTGATGTATATATAGAACTACCCATCGCTGGTAAGTCATTTTTCCTTCAGTTTTAAAGACAACGGTTACCTACTCATTGATGAGTAAGAACTTCACATCGCTGGGTGGGAAGTTGACTTTCAAACAAGGAAAGAATCAGGCTTAAATGCCTTACAACGGTCATACCTACCCATCGATGGGTATATCCTCCCATCGCTGGGTAAGGCTAGGGCATTATGCCTTGTGTTAATGTTGAACCAAGACTTGTACAACGATGGGTGGAACTCCCCATCGCTATGTGGCATGGTTCTGGAATCCAGCTGAGCTAAAGGATCAATTACCCATCGATGGGTAATATCTCCCATCGCTGGGTGGCATGGTTCTAGAATCCAGTTGAGCTAAAGGATCACTTACCCATGGATGTGTAATATCTCCCATCGCTGGGTGGCATGGTTCTGGAATCAAGCTGAGCTAAAGGATCACTTTACCCATGGATGGGTAGTATCTCCCATCGCTGGGTTAATGACTAGTCCAGAAACCTATGGTTTTTGCTTGAACCATGGCCTAGCTCACTACTACAAAAATGACCAAATTATCCAAATGAGAATTTAATTAAATAATGTTTTACTGAGTAAACCTAGATAGGGTGTTACACCCAGTCTCCACAGGGCACTCTTCTTTATTCTCTTGTGGGCAGAGATTCATCCATGGCTTTCAGCTTCTTCATTTTTACCCTGACTTTCTTCTCTTTGGGTCCTAAGGGATCAAACCTCTTCTCCTTTATCCCACCATCCAATTAATTTTTTGGACAAGGGAATATTTTGCATCATAAGGGGCCCATGAGCTTTCAGGGACCAGACAAGAGCTTTTGGGAGCCTTTGAATATAAGCTCTGTTGGTAGGTTCCCTCAGGGGGGTGAGTGCTTAGAATGTGACATGTTTATTTGATGTCTGAGGTCCTGTTGGGAGAGTTCTTTCTTCCCCTCCAAGCTTGCTCAAGCCTTTTATGTAGACAGATTCCTTCTGGATCTGTTCTTGCCCATGATGTTGTTAAGGTGAGGACGAGGATAACTTTTGAGAATTTAAAATTGGATAGGAAAGGGTGAGAGAGCCTTCTGGATAGACCGTGAGAACGTTCCATGCTTTGTTGTACAACGAGGCTCGCTAAATGCCAAAGGAAAATAAAGGGCTCACTGAATGAATAGTGAAAAGGAGGTGGCTCGCTATCAACTTTCTAGATAATTGCTCGATTTTTTAATCTTATGAACAAGCGAGGCTCATTCTTAGGACTAGAACACCTTTTACGAAGATTTTTGTCCCACGGGTTGCGCTAGTGATGGATCAATGATATTTTCCCTTCGGGCTCTTGGGCAGTCTAAGGTTCAACTATCAATGGTCTAGCCTTGTAACAATGGAAGAGTAGGAACATATGAGTAATGAGTAATAAAAATGATCACACACGGTAAATGGACTCAAACCGACATCCACTTCTCTAAATTGTCTTTCTTAGGATCATAATATTCTTTTATTACTCATTATATCGACCACTCTCTCTCTCTCCCCCCCCTCTCTCTCTCATTTACAAGATATCTCTCGAGGATGCCACTCCTCTTTCCATAAAGTCCTCCCCAACAACCATCCTATTAAAATATCCTCCCGTGGTTGGGGACGGATCAGGGAGATTTCATACTTATCACTGGACATTTCTTTTAACTTTGTGTCATAGGCTTCACGACAAGGCGGTCAATGGACAAATATTTTTTTGTCCCTTCCTTTTCAAACTCTATCAGGGAACTAGTGTCCTCTTGCCCCCCGTGAATGTGCTACCCTAATCCTTTGGGAATAGGCTGTGCTAATCTCTCTCTCTCTCTCTCTCTATATATATATATATATATATATATATATATATATATATATAGAGAGAGAGAGAGAGAGAGAGAGAGAGAGAGAGAGAGAGAGCTAGCAATGGGAAAGACAAAGTCTGTGATTCCTCACCAATATGCCCCAATGAGGTAATCCCAACGATTTCCGTTCAAGTTCACTCTAACCTATACTACAATCTGCCCCAGTAGTGGAAGAATAGAGAACTTAAGTGTAGAAACCTCAACCCTAGAGAAAAACGATTCTGGAAGTGCTTCTAATCAGCAGATTTGGTGGTCTTTCAAGAAACCTACACAGTCCATTAATATATTTGACCTCTCTCCACTTGCCGCTACTGTGTTTATACCTTTATTGCATAACGCTTTCTCAGCACTCTTCACCCAAGAAGACATCTTGGTGGAGTCCCCAGCTTTCCAAGCAGAGTCTGATCCTTTTGAGAGAATACATGATAACAATTTGGTCCTCAGAATTTGATTTTGAGGTCTGAATAATGTCAAACTTGTTCCCTACTTCAAGCTACTAATTTTGAGAGGTGGTTTAGGGTGGGGGGTTTAGGGGAGGGTTAGGGGGTAGGAACTGTCATTTTTACAAACGGAGGACCGTAGTTACTCCAAACAAATTGGTGTAAGCAACTGGTGTATAAGTAACTGGTGTAAGCACCGTATGTGTATGTGTGTGTGTGTGTGTGTGTGTGTGTATCAATCGGGATTGACTCCAGTGAAATGACACCTTACGGTGACATAACATGCTTCGGTCAGATGATGCAAAAACGATAAACTAGTCTAAAAAATACACCAAACTATAAACACAAGGATTTTTACGTGGAAACCCAAATCGGGAGAAAACCACGGGCCTTTTTTGGCGGTACCTTGCCAACGGGGGATTTATATTAATATCGGGGGTGTGTACACGGTACATGATTTAGGCGTAGAAAGCCATTAATGGAGCTTTTGAGCTCTTGAAGAAATAAAATACAAGAATACTTTTGAGAGAGAAAGTGTATTGGGAAGGGGAGATGAATGAAATTGGCCACTCTTCTCAATTAGGTAACCCCTTCTTTTATAGGAAGGAGGGGAGCATTTTCGGAGGAATATTCCCTTATTCCTTCATTTTACGAACAGACCCGGTTTGATTATTATTCGTAAATAATTGGGAAATGTGGGCCGAGCCACGTATTTCCCATCAAGAAGTCCTCCACTTTTTTAAGTTGTGAGAATCATCAACTTAAAAAAGTAAATAAGTCCTCTGAGTGTAATCTTCAGTCTTCGTATTTTGAATTCTTGACCGGTAGATATTATTGCTAGTCCTCAGAGTCTTCATTAATTCTCCAATTTCTTGAATCAAAAGTTTTTCCTTTAAAAAATAATTTGTACAACATTTTTTTTGACCGGCCTATGCCGTGCTCAAAAAATTATTATCTTTACCCAGGAGCTCGGTGTTAGGTGATTAAGAACTCGCGTGAATAATTATCATAACAAGAGCGATGTCAGTTCGATAAAGCAACGATGCTTCGAGTAGTTATACGACAGGAGTTAGTACGATGAAGCGGCGATGCTTCAAGTAGTTATTTCGTCGAGACCGATGTTAGTACGGATTAAGTGAACGATGCATAGCGAAATTAGTATATCGAAGTGATCGATGTTACTTAATACGAATTAAGTATGTTGCAGCAGCTTTGTCGAAGATCGATGTTAGCCTGGCTAACTGATGCAAATATCTTCGTGTCATGTAGAGACCACTTCCGGAGTGCCTTGTTCAAAGGGCTTGAAGAATCGGGCGTCCTCGATAAGAGCTCAGCTGAGACACCGGTGTACCCAATTCGATTGGGTTCAGACTTACGAGAAAATATGTGCAAGACTCGTGCATGTGTATACCATTCTTGGCCTGTCTCGCGCACAAGAATGATATTTACCAGCATGCCAGACCGGGCCTGTGTCACATATTTTAATATTTTTTTATTATACTGAGCAAGACCGGTGTAGTAACCAACGTGCCAGGCCGGGCCTGTGTCTCAGTCTTCCTCTTTTTTTTTAATACTGAGCAAGACCGGTGTTGTAACCAGCGTACCAAGCTCGGCTTGTGTCTTAGTCTTCCCTCCGAATTCGTCCAAAAGGCATGTACAAATACCCAAATTATTGCTCCATAATGTTTGGTGCAATGTAACATCACTTGTAAGTGGTGGGGCCCATGATAAATAGGTGAGGAGCTTATTTCTCCCTCTTCCCGTGATGTTCAATGCACATGCATCTCCCATCAAAATGATCAATTGGTGGGGCCCTTGTGAAATATGTGTGGGCAACTTCTTGGACACCCCACTATCTCTCTTCAATTTTGTTTTTTGGACGGAAGCAATTAGAATTCCACAGTCAGTCGGTCATAACCGTTTCTTTTTTTGTGGTTGGCATCCACCTTATCTCCAAAGTAGGTTTCTTCCCACTTTTTTTGTTTGTCCTCTTCCTCTTTGGAAGGAATTTAGTTTTGACGGCCAAAATTCCACTAGAAAGCAGCCAGGCGTCCCTCAATTGATAAGCCGAGAACAGCTGTCCGCATAATAACAATACAAGCGGACTACTGGCTTTAGAGACTACGAACCTCCCACATGGTGTTGCGGGTGTAAGCCCACCGGTGTTGTAGCGTTCCTGCGATGATGGTGGACAAGCAGCCGACCAGGGGCAGGGGAGTGAATAATCTCTTTTGACGGCGTCGTCCTTTGTCTGGTGGTGAACTAGCGGTTGCATAGAGTCACTAACGGAGGGAAGTCGCTGGAGTAACTGGACTTCGCTGGATGCATGGAAGCTATGAAATCACCCGTGGTGCGCTGCAATTGACGGATTAGGGATTGGCGATTAGGCGGTGCTCCAATTCGCCTAAAAATTTAGGAACCGTTAAGCCGATGAATCCGCACCTGCAGATGCAATTTTAGTTTGCTGGATGTGTTCTCTGCCGGTGAATCCGCTCCGGTGATGAATCCGATGTGCGAGGTGGCACTTGTTTTCCGATTCCGTGCGAGCTAGATGGTGAACTTGGGCGGCTACTGATGCCGGAAAAAGAGAACGAGAATCGTCCTCCGGTAACAAGTAGAAGGGTGGTTGACTCTGGCTTCAGTTTCAACCAACGCCAGCGATGAATCCAACTCCATTGTTGGTAATGGCGGACCTCAAGATGTTATCAATAGACTCCAGCGGCTACGGATACAACAGCTAGTCAGCATCACGCGGCCCTCCGGTGCTAGACGTGGACGGCGGTGAATGGCTCCAACGACTGATGATTGGGTTTGCCGGTGGCGGCGGCAATCTCGTCTATTCAGTTCGGTGATGGAGGCAATCCCGTCGATTAAATTCGGCGGTGGCATGTTTGAGCATCGGCGGCGGCGGCGGATCTGAGCAGCGGCGGAGGAGGCGGATCTGAGCAGCGGCGGTGGGAGGTCTGAGCATCGGCGGCGGCAGGTCTGAGCATCGGCGACGGCGGCGACGGCGGGTTTGAGCAGCGGAAACAAGAGTAGCTCTCATGATGGTGGATCTTGAGCGGGTGGCCGTCAATTTGAGGAAAGACGGCAACTTGGAGTGAAACACTCCCTTTTCGACCTCCCAATCGACATGTTGAAGTGACTACCAAAATTAGCACTTTGGACCCAATTTTTGCACAAAGGGGACTCAAAATGGCTTACAAAACACTTTGGTAAAAACTGGATATTGGTTTTGAGATTCATTTTTTTATTGAGGAAAATGATTGAATATGGCAACACGGCTATTTGCTCGGGTCCCACGGTCGGCGCCAAAATGATGGTGTAAATTATCGACCGATATATCGTTTTAGCCCGGCAAAAACGATAAACTAGTCTAAAAAATACACCAAACTATAAGCACAAGGATTTTTACGTGGAAACCCAAATCGGGAGAAAACCACGGGCCTTTTTTTGTGGTACATTGCCAACGGGGGATTTTTATTAATATCGGGGGTGTGTACACGGTACATGATTTAGGCGTAGAAAGCCATTAATGGAGCTTTTGAGCTCTTGAAGAAATAAAATACAAGAATATTTTTGAGAGAGAAAGTGTATTGGGCAGGGGAGATGAATGAAATTGGCCTCTCTTCTCAATTAGGCAACCCCTTCTTTTATAGGAACGAGAGGAGAATTTTCGGAGGAATATTCCTTTATTCCTTCATTTTACGAACAGACCCGGTTTGATTATTCTTCAGAAATAATTGGGAAATGTGGGCCGAGCCACATATTATTTCCCATCAGTAAGGATGACAAAAATATTCTTCACTCCAAAAATTATTTTTATGAGAGTTATATTAAAATTATAGTTATTTTGGAGTGAATTGAAAAATTCTTTTTTAACTATTCAAAAATATTTTTTGAGTCAGTTACAAAACGTGTGTCAACATTTCTTAAAATATCTTTTTAAGATATACATTTTTTTCTGGTTAAGAAAAATATGATTTAAATATGTTTCGTGTACATCGTTTGACACACAAAATAATTTTGTGACTCTTTTCTACACCAAAAATTGCTTTCATTTATTCAAATTCATTTTTGAATAATGTTTGAAAGTGATGGGGAGCCTCTCCATGTATTTCCTTGTTGGAAACAAATCCTAAATGCCAAAAATTCTTTTCATCTCACCCACATGTTTAAGCATTATTTTCGTGAATGGATCGATCCCCTGCGTTGGATCGATCAGACGTTTTCTTGTGCGCAAACTTTCTTTCGTGTGATCGATCATCTGGGCTAAATCGATCACACAAACTCTTGTTCGTAATTTTTCCTAAAATCTTAAACCATGGTGATTGATCACCTAAGCTGAAATCTATCAAAAATATTTTATTTCTTTCCCAACGGATTTATTCCTTCCATCTCTATAAAATTTCTCTTCCTCCCCATCATAGACACTTGAAACACTCTAAAAACACCTCTTTCTTGTGGTCTTAATCCTCCATCAATTCCTTCCTCAAATATAAGTTATTTTGAGAAAAAATATTTATTTTTAAGAGAGTGTTCTTGTCATCCATAGAGCTTAATCATTTTCTCATTTTTACTCTTGTGAAAGTTTTGTTGTGGGGTTGAAGAAGTTTACTCTTCTTGTTGTACAAGACTTATGTGACTAAAGTCTTAGGTGTGAAGTCTTGTAGAGGGCACATCTACGAGCGGTTTTGTTGAGGCTTGTAGGATTCAAGTTCTCGAGTTTTAAACGGTTTGCAAGCACCCGTTGAAGCTTGATAAGTAGTGGTAGCTTTGAGAGAGTCTCTTTTATTTCTCAGGGACTGTACTAGCCACGAGTTAACCAGTATACATCAGTGTGTTCTTTGCATTCTCTCTTTTATTTCCGCTCCACTCGCTCGTTTATTTTTATTTACACACTTACGCTACGAAAAATGGTAAACATTCTCAACAACTCTATTCACCCCCCTCTAGAGTTGTACACATTGTCTAACACCTTACCTATCTTATCTATATGTTTTAATGAATATTAATTCATAAAGGGGGTTAAGAGTTGAGGAAAATAAAAAACTAATTTGTAGGTGCTACGACACGCCTATCACCTGTGACACTCCTTTATCATCTAGCCCCTATCGCTGGCCGTTAGAACCTTATGGTTGCACATCTGTCGGGGGGCTGGTTCATGTGCCTGCAATTGGGCACCCACCTACCGGTCTGCTTGCCCAGCCAGTAGGTCCGCCTCGATGACACTGAGTCGATTGATCCATCTTGGTGGTACCGAGCCCAGGTCATTGTTTGGCCTCACGAGGGTGCCCTCTCGGGGGGGCCGATCGTGGGCCATTGTGGGACCATCTGACGGCGTGGAGTCAACTTCCATAACTGATATCCAAAGAATTTGATATTGAGGGGTTGTTTCTTTGTGCATGTATTTATTAGTTTATTGTTGATAAACAGTTTATAACATATAAGCTGGTAATAAGTCAAATATTCTTTTATAAAAGTATAATGAGTTAAATGATACAGAAATTATTTATAAATATTCATAAATGGTGAGGAAGAGTTTTGTAAACAATCTAGTCAAAACAGAAAAATGAAAAAATTGGTTTAAAAATAAGTAGCAAGGACATGCTTGTTGTTTTGACTTATAAGCAGCTTATAAGCGTACAAAAACATGTCATCATCTGACTTGTACTCCCTCCGTCCCAAAATGTAAGCAACCGTTACTATTTTGGTCTCTCAATAACTTTTGTTTGTTTACTCGTTTTGGTTGACCATTTGATAAAATTAAATATTCTTTTTGCCTCTTGTTTTGTAGAATTCTGTATTTTACTTTTAAACAGTGTACTTTTTACTCTCTATATATCTACCAATTTATAAATAAAATAATTTTAAAAGAGATGATATTTTACATTTTTTCAAAATGTGGCTTATATTTTAGGATGGAAATAGTAAATTAAAAATTACTCATAAATAATTTTGATTAACTTATAAATACAAAAAGAGAGAAGTACCATCATAGCACTAATATATGCTTATAGTACCGAATACTAGTATTAACCTCGTGCTTCGCACGGGCTCACATATAAACTAAATTTTGACATCTAAAAATAAAATATTATTTATTTTAAATTTTTTATTCATGATATGTGTTTGATATATAGTTTCTAACTATTTTAAAGTTTTATACAAATGTAATGGTCATCAAATAAAAAATAATGAAAATCGGTTTAAGTAATAAAAATTAAAATAAAAATGTAAAATAAATGTGTAATAAAATAAATAATGTAATAAGACAAAAGATTAAAATATGTTATGAACTTAATAAAGATGCATGTGTGGTAAAATTTTTATATAATAGTTTCTTTTGAGATGATGGATAAGTTTAAAAATCATAAGAAACATTGTTTTTTTAATTAAAAATTTTATATAATTTTTTTAATATTATAAAATAGTCGTGCATATTTAAAAAATATGTTAAAACAACAAAAAATATTTCTAAAATACTTAGATAGTGAAAATTTTATAAAAACGAACAAACATAAGGGTTTTTATTGTTGGAAAGCAAAGGGTATATAAAATATAATAAAAATAATGATTTAATACAAAATTAAATATGCATATGTGGAGTGACATTTGTCTTGCGATTTACATGTCAGTAGTATGCACGTGTGGCATGACATATGTCATCACTACAACTATTTAACTCTCTTTTACATATACTAGACTCGTACCCGTGCGATGCACGGACAGTAAAATAACGTAATATTTGTTTTGGTTTGGAATAACATATAATGTTAAAAAGGTAGTGTACATAAAGGACCATAGTGTACATTAAGGACCGTAGTAAAAAAAATAACAATATTTATTAAAATTGCCCAAAATAAGGTAGTGTATATTAAGGACCATAGTCGACATGCCGTGTCATAAGTTTTGGAACACTTATTTGAAGTGCATATTTATGATATTTCACTTTGATAGCTAAGAATAAAAAAGAATAGAGTAGTAACACATAGATTGATAGGTAATCTTTGGAATTTGTAACTTCATAACAAAAACTAATTTTGGTCATAATCATAATAGACATACAAATAGTTACATCCTTAGCTTCGTTCCAAAAAACATGTGGGATGGATTACACATGGGGAGCTTTTTAATTTCTTCCAACATTAGAGAATCATACATTTCAAAAGCGGTAACATTAAATATCTTAAGAAGAAATTGATAATCTTAATAAAGGACATAAAGATCATTGAAATACTTTTTGTTTGGAATTTTAACTCGTCCAGATCGTCGTAGTAAAAGTGGTGTGGGTATAGGTGGTGTCGGAATCGCACAATGATCGCAAACGAAAAATAATCCCCATACCACACCACCAATTTGTAAACATGTAAGATGACCATGTGCAACAAAGCATTTCCAACAGTCTTCCATAAAATCTGAGTCTTGAATAGTCTTGCACTTGTAACATGGGGTCAACCAACTGCCAATTCCTTTTTTAATTATGAAATACATAAACTAACTTAAAAATAAATTTTAATTTATAAAAACAATTTACAATCCGAATCATTTAATTGGTTTAGAAAGGTTATTTTGTAAAAACAAATTTTGTTTTGTATAAAAATCATAGACCATTATTTTTAAATATTTTGTCTCATTCCAAATTTAAAAGCCCACACCTATGACCAGGAGAACCCAACATTTATTACAATGCAGGCCCCAACGCACACAGCTTTTATTTCTTCAGCAGAATACCGATTAAACATATAAGCGAAAATGCTAGGGGTGCACCAAAAGTGTACCCCAAACATCCCTACTTCCTCCATCACCACAAAAAAAGCAAGAAAAAATAAAAAAAATAAAAAAAAAAATAAAATAAAATGAATGGTAGAAAGGAGAGGGGTGTACATTTGGGGTGTAGCGTAGCATATCCCAACATTTAAACATAAATAAACCTACCCTAACTGTGGCCATCTTTTGGCCACACAAACACGCCGCTTCTGTTTGATCTCTCTAGATCTTCCTTTTTCGTCTCGTGGAGAACGCCGGCGATGGAAGTAGATAGAGAGAGAGATAGACAAAGAGGGAGGGAGAGAGACCCTTTACACAGAGAGAGAGAGAGAGTACTTCCAGATGTTAGACGTAGAGAGAGAGAGAGTGATATACTCGTGAGAGAGAGAAGAGCGAGAGAGTGTTCCGTGAGGTGGAGGATCTCATCGTCGGGTTATCATCGCGGACTTCACTGGTATCTTTATTTCATTATTCCTTAAGATCAAATTTTTTCTCAGTTCACACTCCCATTCATTAAGGTATGAATTTTTGTTAGATCCGTTTATTTCCAACAGATTTCAAAATTTGGAAGGCATTTTTTAAAAATTCAGTTATTCAATTTTAGATCTTTTTAAAACAACCATGCATGTGAATTTTTGTAATTGATAAATAATAAGTATTTGATTTATAAGTGTAAATAATCTTTTAAAATTACGGCAAACCATTTTTAAAAATTTATGAATTTTTTCCTTAATGCGTTGTTCTAAATGATGTTCATTCATCCCCAAATTTTTTCATTTGATCATAATAACATTAATTTCTAAAAACTGCTGATTTAATTTTCGTGCCTAAATGTTGATGTTTTATTGAAGGAAAAAT